GATAAGTGTCCGCGGTTTGCATTATTTGTGTTAAATAAATAAATGGATTCTTTGCCTATTCATTTTATTAAAGCAGATGAAAAAGAATATTATAACATTAATAAATTAGCGCCAAAATGGCCTTTTATATTAATAATTATAGGACGAAGTGGTTCTGGTAAAACAAATACTGTTGTCAATCTTTTAAAATATTTATTTTTTGATACTTTTTATTTGTATGCAAAAGATTTAGAAGAACCGTATTATCAATTATTACAAAATGTATTTGATGATGAAAAAATTCGTGGACAATCGTACTTTTCATCAGATATAGAAGACATTGTCGATGTAGACGAACTAGATAGAGATAAACAAAATTTGATTGTTGTTGATGATTTCGTAACGGAAAAAGTTCAAAAGAAACTGATAGATTTAGCTATACGCGGAAGAAAAATGAATGCTTCAATGATTTATATAACGCAGGATTGGTATAGAGTACCAAAATCAATTCGTTTGCAATGTAATTATATTTCAATATTTCCTTCCTGTGACGGTAATGATATAAGTTTAATATTTAGAGAAAAGGGATTGGATAAGAAACTTAGGGAATATTATGAAAATAACATCAAAAGTTTTGATTGCTTAACTGTTGATTTTAAAACTCCTGAAATGAAATATAGGAAGAATTTTACGCCCATAAATGACCTCTGAATACGCTCCGATCATGAGGGCTTCGCCTGAATACGTTCTTAGAAAAAATAGAAAAAAAAGGGGTAAATCAACAAGAGGTCCACCTGGTATAGGATTTAATCTAACAGAAAATGGTGATTATGATATTTCAGAAAATCCTGGCGATGTTGTTAATTTACAATATTTAACGTCAGCGTCCACAAAGTGGAATAGTTCGCGCGAAGCACTAGTCCATGAAATGGACGCTTTGCATACTGCTGTGGATAAAGTCAACGATAATATGATTAAAAAAGATGATTCTCAAAGTATTCTAAAAATTGTTAAACCTGAACTCAGTAATATGATTAAAAAAGATGATGCAGAAACTATTGTAAATATTGTTAAACCTGAATTAGAAAATGTGATTACAAAAGATGATTCTGAAAGTATTTTAAAAATCGTTAAACCTGAACTCAGTAATATGATTAAAAAAGATGATTCAGAAAGCGTTTTAAAAATTGTTAAGCCCGAATTAGAAAACATGATTAAAAAAGATGATTCTCAAAGTATTCTAAAAATTGTTAAACCCGAACTCAGTAATATGATTAAAAAAGATGAGAGAGCACCGCTAGCGAATCTAACCACTACAAAAAGATATATCGATATTGGTAATAGAAGATTAGTTAAAACTGCTGATGCAATTGATAAGTATGATGTTGTCAATAAAGGACAACTAGATACTTACGGAGAAAGGTTAATTAATTTGGAAACAGAATTCATGAAAAAAACGTCTTTGACTAGTGCTTTGCATGCTCATTATTCTTTTTTACAGTTTGTAGGAAAAATTATTTTTATTAAGGAAGTTCATGGACAAAAGGCTGTTAATCTGCTTGACTTTTCTTTTGATGGCGAACGATTTCTTAGATTACCAATGAATGTAGAAGTTATAAAATTCTATTCAACAGCTCTCTTGAAAGATTTGAATATCAGTAATAATAAAGGAACAATAGATGTTTCTAAACCCTTTATTGTTAGAGAATCTGATCTTCTATCTTTTATGATAAAAAAAGAAAAAGTAAACACGGATGAAAATCTCGGTGGTTATAATCATAATAAACCTTATCTATTAAGTACTCCGATTTTCTTTTATATGCTAGTCAAGTTTTCTGTATAACGTCTTTGACCTACGCACAATCGCTTCGCATGCTACGCACTAGTCCACTGTGTGGACGCTCATGAGGGCTTCGCCTGAATTATTTACAAAATAAAACATATACATATAAATGGAAAACAATATAGTAATCAATTTAAATGAAAATGGTATCTCTACTGTCTGTTGTATAGTAAATGGTGAAGAAATTGAACTTAATCTGACAGAAGATGAAGAAGTTGAAATTTTACGAAAAATTGGTATTATATTATTAACAAAATTACCTTATGAGGAAATGAAAAAACATTTGAAAACATTTTTAAAATTCGGGTGAAGCCAAAGTGGACCACTGTGTATCATGCGAAGCAAATCGTAATTTATTAATTGATATTCTGTTCCATTCTTTTCTAAAATTCGTGTGAAACACTTCATGAGTCGAAGACGAATTTTCCATAAATCTTTCTTAATTCCATGTTGAATGAAGTATAAAAGATCATTTATTATTATTATGTTTTTCTTATCAAATATACTCAATGGTTAGGATTAATTCCCTTCGGCGATTTTATATTGTTTTAAAATATTTAACTCTTTAACGTAATTTTCATATTTATAAATGAATACTTATTGTGTTAAATGTAAAACAAACACAGGTAACAAAAATATAGTTATTAAAGAAGATAAAAAGGGTAAGAATTATTACTCATCAGTATGTCTTGCATGCGGTAAAAAAAAAGTACATATAAAAAAATCGGCCTGCGGAGCCGTAGTCCCTTTCAGGGACGCTCATTAATTAGAATCAAATAAATGGATTATTGTAAAATATGCAAAACGAAAACTAAATCCACTGAAGAACCAGAATTCGTGCGAAGCGCTCATGACCGAAGGAAATTTATTGTAAAATATAAACGCTGGAGAAGAATATCAACTTGCAGAAATTGTCAATCAGTGAAAAATAATTTTTCAAAATCACCTGAAGATATTTTAATTATTGAATTATTCAAACCTGCTAGGAAAAACTATGAAATACGAGTATTCCAACACAAAGGTCTTGATGATACCTGGCAAATGGATATTTATGTTTTTTACAGACCAAAAGGAAAATCAGAAGATCCAAGCTATACTTTAAGAACAAAAGAGCCAAAGGCTAAGACGAATGATTTTAATAAATTTAAAAAGATCAACAAGGGATTTATCTATATTCTAGTTGCTGAAGACACCTTTTCTAAATTTGTATGGGTAGAACCTTTAAAAACTAAATCAGGATTAGAAGTAGCTAATGCATTTGTAAAAATCATACAACAAGCGATTAAAGATAAACACAATCCACCAAAAAATTTACATGCTGATAAAGGAAAAGAGTTTTATAATAAAGATATGAGGATCGTTTTAAATAAATCAATATCAATCTTTACAGTACAGGAACAAAGAATAAAGCTTTCTTTGTTGAGAGGTTCAATCGTACTTTAGGAAATAAATTCAAGCCAATATTATATGACAGTTTTGATTGGATTTCACCACTTCCAAAAATTATAAAATCCTATAACAATTCTTATCATACTACTATTAAAATGAAACCAAAAGATGTAAAAAAAAGAAATGAAAGAAAATTGTTAGAAACCGTATATATGATTACATTAACAAATAAAAAACCAAAATTTGAAGTTGGCGATAGAATTAGATTATCTAATATGGTTGACGTATATCGTAACAAATTAAAAACAAATTGGACAGAAGAAATATTTACAGTTGTAGAAAAACGTGTATATAATGTTTGGATTTATTTTGTTTCTGATCTTAATGGTGAAAAAATTAAAGAGGGTATATACGAAGCAGAAATGCAACTAACATTATTATAAAAATTATTGAAATAATACAAATAAAAATAAATATAATTTTTTTCTTTTCTTTTGTTAATTCAACAATCTTTAAGTTTGCCTTGATTAATAAATTCGCTGTATTCATTTATTAACTAGAGAAAGAGTGTTTGCTAAACGTCTTTTTGCTCGTTCTTTATTGTTATACCTAATAACAGGATTTTTATTCAGTAATGCGTTTATTTTTTCTTCATCATAACTATTTACATCTTTTAATTCTTGTTCCAATACATTAATTTTGTTATCTTTATGCTCGATTTCTTCATCCATCTTTTCTATTGTTTCAACTGCAGCATTTCCTAATTCTTTTAAAATTCTGTTTTCCATATACAGTTGATTAGATGCTTTAACTTTATTGCCAACAGATAAATTATTAAACTCAATGCAGTCTTTTTTTATTCTATTTTGAATAATTTTTACCTGATTTTTGTCTGCAACATCAATTAGTGCCATTATTTATTAGATAGGGAATTTATAGTCTTATTAAAATTTTTATCAAATTCTTCTTCAGCCTCTTTTGTACTGCCAGCTTTCAGGGACGCTTTGTAATCTGATTGGGATGTGTTTGATTTGTGTTTAGATTTAATTTGTTTCTGTTTTTTGTTATATTGTTCTATATTGTTTGATTTTTTGTTATGTTTAATTAATGTTTCACCAGTGAGAAATTTTATTTGATTCCTAATTGTATTTTCACCAATTTTATTCTGTTTAGCAAACTCTTTTAAGGTAATATTTTTAGAAGTAGGGTCTCCTTTTTGTGCTAAAAAATTTAATGCTGATTGTCTTGATCGCATATTATTTAAATTCTTCACTGACGGAATACTAGACTCTGTTAATGTGTAATCTTTTTTAATTATTATGTTTATCTTTTGTTTAGCTGACTGTTCCCTTTTGGTATTATGAGTCATTTATTATGAAATAATATCTTCCTAATAAATGGATAAAAAAGTTTGTAAAAACTGCAATACTGAAAAAGATTTGGACAATTTTTATCCAAATAAAAAAAGCAAAGGTGGTTATTCAACTTTGTGTAACATATGTTGGAATAAACAATATAGAGGTAAAAAAATATTATGCAAGTGCGGTAAATTAGTAGGAAAGCAATACTATCCAAAACATATCTTACTAACATATTATAATCATTGATAAAGTTTAAGAGTTTTGAAAAAAATATTTTGCAAAAACTTTTTTCTTATAAATGGAAATACAGAAAGATCAACTTCTTAAAATGAGTCTTGAGGAAATTGTAAAACTTACTAAAGGGGATTTAAAAAAAGTGGGTGAAATAATTGAACAAATTAATAAAGATGTCGAACCAGAATCGTCTTCTAGTTCATCTTCAACTCATAAATTGTCTTGGATGGATAAATATTTTTTACCACTACCGTCAAATAATGAATCTGTACTAAATAAGCTAAGCTTAAAAAAATTAAAATCTATTGCAAAAAGGCAAGGTTTAAAGAACTACCTTATTCAAAATATAACTGAAAGACTAAATCAGTTCTTATACGGCTAATTCTAAAAGAAGAGTCGGATGCTGGAGATTGGCATAGAAAATTAAGCAGGGTTAGTATTAAAAAATTAAAATCAATTGCTACCAAACTAAACTTAAAGATAAAGAGAAATAGTAAACAAATAGATCTATTGAAACAAATTTCAGATAATGTAAACAATGATAATATAAACAGAATTCTTAATGAAATTGAATTGCCAAGTTTAGAAGAAATATTGAAGGAAATATTAGAGAAATCGACTCAAAATAAAACGTTGAAAGAACTAAGAAAACTTGCCAAAGAAAAGAATATCAAAGGTTACTCAAAAATGAAGAAGGCAGAATTATTACAAAAAATTGGTGAGGAACCTTTTGCAATCGAAGATGATTATTTTACAGAGTTTTCAAAAAAACCTAAATTTAAAATAATAGAAACAAAAGCTGAATACAGCAAAAAATGGAAGAAACATAAAGTTTACTATAAAGTTATATTATTGAAAGACAGGCGAGAATCATCCGAGTCTGATCTTTCAGACATAATTATGAAAAAAATTACTGCCATTAGAGAGGGTTTAAATGATATGATTAAAACACTAAAAGAGAAAACAAATTTCAAAGAAGGAGACTTATTAAATATAGTAGTTAACCACACCCATCTTTGGACACCTATTGCCACCGGATTATCAAGAACGTCTGATGTTGATAATTTATTAAACAAAATTCAACGTATCTTAACTTCAAATCAAGATTTAGATATATACGGTTGTACGTTTCATGTAGAAGTAGTTAATATGCCTAAAGGTGCCACTAATGCGAAAAGATTGTTAAATATAGCAGAAGACTCAAGAACAAAGAAAAGTATAACACAAATAAAAAATAAAGATAGATTATGTTGTCCAAGAGCCGTTATTGTTGGATTAACTTATCATACAAACATTATACTCGGTAAGGAATATAATGATAATGAATTAAAATATATAAGAATGGGAAGAAATTTACAAACAACTTTAGCTCAAGAGCTATGTAATCAGCTTGAAGAATATAATGAAGAGTATTTTACCTTACATGATATTGCAAGTATAGAAAAAGTATTAAATATTCAAATAAAAGTCGTAGCAGCGGAATGCTTTAATTCCATAATATATTCGGGGCCCGAAAAAGATATAAAAATATATTTATATAAAAATGGAAATCATTTTGATACAATTGGTAGTATGACAGCTTTCTATGGTCAATCTTATTATTGTAAAAAATGTGATAAACCATATCAAAACAAAGATAAACATAAATGCAAAACAAAGGATAAAATATGCATAATGTGTTTCAAATCTAATCACAAAGAAGACTCTGCTAAAAGAATATATTGCGAAAAATGCAATAGATACTGTTTTAATCAAGAATGTTTACAAAATCATTCTGAAGTTTGTGAAAGATTTCATAAATGCTTAAAGTGTAATAAAATACTCAAAAGAGGTGATAAAATGGTTGACGAAGGTAAAAAAATGATTGAAGAAGGAAATAGATTAATTTGTACAAAACCGAAAATGGTCCAAAAATGTAATAAAATTATTGAAAGAGGTAATAAAATGATAGAAGAGGGTAGTAAAGAACACAAATGTGGCTGGGAAAAATGTAGAAATTGTTATAAAGAGGTTGAAATACGTAAACATAAATGTTACATGCAATGGAAGCGGCAAAAAGGTGGAATCTGTCAAACTAAAATAAAAGACGGTAGTAAAGAATACAAAGTAAAAGGTTGTAAAAATTGTGATAGAAAAGGTTGTACAGTAACTTTTCCTGATAAAACAAACAAAAGAGTAAAATCTCACATTTATCAATGTAAAGAATGTAAAAATTGTGTTAAAATACCAAGAAAGACTGACAGGGTCAGCCCAGAGTTTACCAAAGGGTGCGGAGCACAAGTCAAAGACGATTCACGAGGGGATTTAAAAATCCCGGAGTCGAAGACAAAGAACGAAAACGGTTATCAATGTCTTAATTGCGGATGTTCATTTAGTACAACTAAATGCTCTTACACACAAAAATATTTATTATTTGATTATGAGGCGATGCAAGAAACGGGAAAACACGTACCTAATTTAGTTATAGCTCACGATTTTTACGGTAATGTTGATTCTTTTAAGACTAACAAAGATTTCTGTAAATGGTTAGTTTCTAGAGATCATAAAGGATACACAGCTATTGCACATTATGGCAAAGGTTATGATTCTTACTTTATTCTAAAATATTGCGTTGAAAACGGTATTAAACCTTTCTGCATATATAAAGGATCTAAAATAATGTTAATGGAAATAAAATCAATTAATTTAAGAATTATTGATAGTAGTAATTTTGTTCAAGGACCTTTAAAAAACTTCCCAAAAACATTCGGTCTAAACGAACTTAAAAAAAATATTTAGTGTTCGCCCTATGGTTTGCACCCTATTAGTTGCGCCGCATGTAGGCAACCAACGACACACACAGTTGAACTCGCACGAATTCCAATAACTAAATCACAAACTACCTACTCTAGTAGGTGGTTTGTGAACTAAATGATCCACGGAGCAAGAAGTGCCACGTTTAGGGGTATGTTTGTAATGGGGTGCAGGGCGCGAAGCGCCCTGCCTCCACTAAAAACCCGATATTACACCTACCCATGTTGTTGACTATAAAAAGTTAGGTTATGTTCGAAACGACTTTGCCATTGAAGAGTGTGCAAGCATTTCCACAACATTTGAAGGTGAGGAACGTGATCAGGGGGTCCTGTAGAAGAGTTCTGTGCAAACAGTTTGTACGAAATCGAAAAGTGCTCTTTGTAAAATTTTACCTTTAATTGATCTGGTACGCAATGTGTATCAATTTTACAAATGTACAAAAAAAGTAAATGTATAAACTATCACTTCCAGATAAAAATGGATACAAAAAAGTACGGAGTCAGCTTATCGGCTTTAAAAAGTTTACAAGATTTCCAGCAATCGATCATGAGTAAGCGAAGAAAAAGAAAAGTAATCGCAATGCCTTTCACAGTTGAATGCCGCATTACCTTCAACGATGGAAAGCCGTGTCGCTGCACGATAGTTGCAGACTCAGGGCTGATCTCTTGTGAAATGTTTGGTGTTCTTTACTTGAAGAATGTGGTCGGAAGCAGCACTGAAACTGACACTACTGTGCTATTTAGTGGTAAAGACCCATTAAAAGTATTTAACAAATTGTTTATAGAATTTGATAAGAAGGATGACAAAGATACATTTATCACCAGCATTGAAAATGTTCTAAGGTAAGTACAACTGAACATAAGTTTCATGTTCTCATGGTTTTATTTTTGTAGGTCGGATTCAGATGATCACAGCTCAAGCAGTGGGGATAGTATGATACAGTAGTAGATTATTTGTTATATCTACATACATCGATTTATCTGAATAAATAATTTTTGCATTCATAGCTCGGAAGAAATTTATTTTCTCGATCTCGTTAGAACGTTAGGTAAACTATGTAATTCTAATTTAATAATGAATAGTTTTTATATCAATTTTCGTTTAAAATCTACATGAGTTTGTATAGCATATGTTCTACCTAATAAAAATAGGACAGAATTTCTAATATTTTAACTGTTGTGCTAAACGGAGTTATAAGTCATTTTTAATATAATCTTGTCCGGATTTGTTCTGAAGTAGCCCAACAGAAAAACAGGGTTAAAAGACGAATTTTAAGTATTTTTAAATGGTAACTTTTCTTGGCCGAAACCGTATTCACGTTTGCTAAAACAGGATATATTTCTTAAAAATTTGACTTTTTAAAAAAGGGTGAGTTCGAAAAACCGGGCAAATTCTTTTAAAAATTCGCTTCGCTCAGGAGGACTTTGTCCGAATTTTAACTTTTTAAAAGTTATCTTGAAAACCAGACTGAAATCATTAAAAATGTGTTGTGTTCTGAGGGGGCCATTTAAAAAATGTTAATTTTAAAAAATACCTAAAAAAACGGGAGTCTTTTCACGATTTTTCTGCTTTTCTGTTAACCCTTGAAAATCGGGGTGATTTCCTTAAAAAGTAGCTGTGTTCTCAAGGGGCCATCTTAGTAGTCATATATTTTTTCATTTTTAGATATAGAAGAAAAATAGTAACGACAAAGGTTTCTTTTTTATAAAAAATTAAAATAAAAACAGTTCAAATAATAACTATTAATACAAAAAAAGATATACATCTTTAATGAAATGGTAATATTAATTTAGTTCAATGTTTAAAATGTTCTCCGATTGTAAGTTGACAGGTCTAATCGATCATTAAAATGTTGCATAGTAATTCAGACGATTTATAGAGCAATTTAGCGAATTTTTCTGTGAAATGGCTGATCTGTTTTTGAAAATCTTACATTTTAAGTGTCATGTCATGCCGGAATACATTTTCACTATAGGTAAACCAAAAATGCATTTTATATGAATCGAGTCACTCGATTTGAGCAGTAGGTATATGTGATAACTTCATAAGCAAGCAGAGAATAGTCGTAAATTGTTAAAGAAACAGTAGGAACAATTGGAACTAACGGACGAATAACGAAAATACTGTTTATTTGATTTCAAAACTCAGTTTTGGATCTAAATGAACTACTTGAAAATTTGATTGACCTGAGTCGAATCCATGAGAAAACTATGAAGAAAAATACTTACTTAGTAAAACTTAAAGTTGGCGTCTAGTTCGGTTTTGCCCTATACTAAATGCATTGAAAACATCGTCGTGGTTTCCGGAGTTGCATTTTAAAAATACTGAAGTCTGCAACGAAACCAGAATCTAAGTAAACCTGTATTCTGCTACCGCATCACAGCTCATTTAATGCCGATTTCTCGTTTCAATAGATTCTGACTTTTCGAGAGTGGATTTTTTATCCACGCATAAATGGTATCAAAAAAAGCTGACACTTTTCCCCAGGGGATCTCCTATCTCAGAATGCAAACAACTTCAGTGCTTCGTCAAAAAATGCATCAATGTGCCGGTTAAAGTGTGATGTAAAAGTTGGTCAACTTTATATTTATGTTTTTTTTTTGCAAAAACTGCAGACTAGATATGAATATAAATATGGAGGTCCCCTGGACTGAAGTTTGTTAATTCGAAATATAATTTTTTTAAAGCGATATATCTCGTATTTTTAAAATGCAACTCCAGATACCACGACAATGTTTTCAATGTATTTAGAAGTGGATTTAGACATATTACACTACATAGTATGTGTGTGCTATTTTAGTTTTAAAGTTTTATCTTTTGCAAATAATAATGCGTTGTTGTAAAGAATACAAGGTCAGTAAACGGTGCAGCTGTTTGAGTTTCATTTATGTATATAAGAAATAGAATTGGACGAGGTACCGAATCGTGTAAAACTCCATAGATAAGTACCTAATACGTTTTATAGTAGACAATACGCCATTTAAAAAAGTAGGATTTTACTAGGTTGCAACAATACGTAATACTAATAAATGTTTATAGTCTGTACTTTCCTCTTTGTCACCAACTTTGTGCAGCGCTAATACCTAGTTTTGTTAAATGAATTTTGCTTGACATTTATAATGTAACATGCCTTCTTTATCTGCTACGTATAATGTATCCATGCTTTTAACCTTATGCATACGGGTTATCGTAAAGAAAAAATCAGTTCCTAGAATGAAATTATACAGTTTTGTCCACATAAGTTAACAAACACTGTAGAATTTTCTTCATGATTTACTTTAGGTTTAGCAGTTACAAAACATCGATTAAAAGTTTAATTTATTTATCATACCAAAAATGACTAAATAAATCTTTATTATTATTATTATTATTATGTCAGTGATGGTCAACAGGCAATAGCCCAATTACTGACCACCTTAGCAAAATATATGACCAACAGCTGAACCCACGAAGGCAAAGTTAAACAGACTGAATGTAGCTACATATACAAAGAAAAAACCTATTTATTTAAATATATCAAATGCATTCTGTTCCGAATTGTATAAAGTACACATCTCGTATATAGGTGAGTGTTTTACAACGTTTAAGCGAGGAGTAGGCAAATAGAAGCAATCATGAGAACGAGATGACAATCTGGGGACAAGCAAATATAATCGACTCAAAAGATCCGGACAATCAATATGAAAATGAACCAACTTTTTTAAAAAATTCAACGATGCAATAGTCCGTCTGCAATGTAAATCTCTAAACCCACATTTATTTAAAAGAGTAATATGGGACGAACCCCTTGGTGGATAAACACCATCCGCCCTAAAAGCTAAGTACTTCAAAAAACGTCGTTGAATCTTCTCCAATGTGTCTATATGAATCCGAGAAAATGGAGACCAAACAACACTTGCATATTCAAGCTTGGATCGCACATAAGCAAAATATAAAATTTTCAAACAATCAAAGTCACTAAAACTACTGCCACATCTTAGTATAAAACCGAGTGATTTGAGAGCATTGGCACATATATTATTTATGTGATTTACAAAAGAGAGTTTGGAATCAAAAGTGACTCCCAAATCACAGAAAGAATCAACTCTAGTCAAAATGGTGTTATTGAGATCATAGGGATACAAGGTTTGGATATTTTTGTTAGTAAATGACATAATAAAGCATTTGTCAAAATTTACCGGGAGAAAGTTACAATTGCTCCAACATAGAAATTTCTGCAGATCATCTTGTAACATCCGGCAGTCATTAATACTCGAAACAGTTCTAAAAATGTTTAAATCATCCGCATACATAAGAATGTTTGAACTAATACTCTTTGCGATGTCATTTATGTAAATCACGAACAAAAGAGGTCCAAGAACCGAACCCTGAGGCACTCCAGACAAGACAGAAATACTATCTGACACATGACCATTATATTTAACGCACTGAGTCCTACTGGATAAATATGATTTAAACAATGAAAGTAATGAAGCAGAAAACCCAAAATTACTTAATTTAACCAGCAAAATATCATGATTAAGTTTGTCGAAGGCCTTGGAAAAATCAGTATAGGCCACGTCAACCTGAAGCATAGCATCAAAGCTTTCTGAAACAAACTGTGTGAATACACAGAGGTTAGATATGGTGGAACGGTTACTTACAAATCCATGTTGACAATCAGATATTTTACTACGAACATTAAATAACAAAAATTTATGTAAAACAAATTCAAAAACTTTGGCAAAGTTACAAATTAGCGAAATGGGCCTGTAATTCTCAATTGTATTTCTACTCCCTTTCTTAAAAATTGGAGAAATAATAGAATGTTTCCAGATATCGGGAAAGATGGCAGAATTTATTATTAAATTAAAGATGACTGATAAGGGATGAGAAAGCACCGAAGCACAATCAGATAATAAAAAACCCGGAATATTATCGTGACCACTCGTTAAGTTACACTTAATTTTTTTTAGCGCTTTAAACACATCTGCTTCACTTATCGTGTTGAATTGTATAAGATCATTGTAAGACTCACATACGAATTCATTCAAATTTGTGGCTTTACAGTCAGTGTAACCTGAACTAAAATGGGTTGCAAATGCATTTACTATATCTGCAGGATTACAGAGTACCTTGTTATTATAACTCATTTGGGACGGTATACCCCCTTGTTTTTTAAGTCTGCTTATATGTGTCCAGAATTTATTAGGATTGGGTTTTATGTTATTTTCCAAATCGCAGATGTAATCACGATAGGCAATTTTGACATCACGTTTTATTTCGGAACGTACAGATTTGAAATTCAAAAGATCCTCTAAACTTTTACTTCATTTATACCTAGACCAAAGTTTTTTATTATTATTATTATTATTATACAAATCGATCGGGCAGAGGCCGAAGCCTGTTATGCCCGCGCATAACATTACTAGTTTCCATTTAAATTTGATTTTATTAATAATGTCAAATGTGAACCAAGGCGGGAAGGGGCTATGACGAATGTTACGAGTCTTGGGCACATAAATATCAAGGATGTTAATAAGTTTATTGTAGAATAAAGTAAATGCAGTATTCGGATCATTAACTCCATTTAAAAACGACCAATTAATTTGCCCAAGATGGTGATAAAGGTTGGGATAATCAGCTTTCCGAAAGTTCCACCGTTTAACTAATATTTCAGAATTACCTAAAATCTTACTTTTTCCTTGATGAGTATCTATGGTAATTACCAGAGAAGGATGATGACTGTCTTCTGGCAAAAGATAATCATGACAACCATTAACAGAGCACTCATAGTTAGAAAGAATCAAATCTAAAAGTCTGCCATTAGTGTTCATAATAGTATTAAACTGACAATAGTTATTAAGATTTAAAAAAGTGCTTAGGGCAGACAACTTGTTATTACCAACAATATTGTTCTCTAAACCAATATGATATTCAGCAATGTTAAAGTCACCTATGATAACCACACGATCATTCCATAAATCAGCAAGATTACCGAGCAAATTAAATAATGAGATATAATCGTCAACAGATGACTTGGGCGGAACATAAATTACCAAAATGTAGAAAGAGACATATCTATATGTAAGTTTTACCCCCACAATGTCAATTAAATGCAACTCATCAAAACCATGCGGGGACAGATCAATCTGCAAAACAGAGAAATATTTGCGCATTGCTATCAGAACCCCACCACCTCTGGTAAGAGTAGTTTTATTAAATTTACGATCAGATCTGTATATCTCAAAATTGTCAGGACAAAATTCTGAATTAGCCACAGAATCAGTAAGCCACGTTTCAGTGAGAATTATGAGCTCAAAATTACAAGTTAGTAAAGAATTGAAAAGTTCGACTAGTTTTGAGTTTATACCTCGGGCATTTTGCTAATAGATTGATAACGAAGATAGTAAAGTGATTGAAGCAGTAGAATTATTATTAGTTGAAACGGTACCTAATAAAGTGGGATCCTCCAATGATTGCTATATGGCGGAGCCGAAAATGTCGCACTTGATTTTATCCATGGTTTTTCTAAATTACGTACATTGTTTATAGTCCCAAGCCGCATGATCATACGTAACATCAGAAACTGCAAATTCATCTGTCGCTAAACTTTCTAAATATTTGGAGCAGTTGCAACATTTAAAACTATCAGACCGACAATCAACAAGTTTATGCTCTCCGGCACATTTTGGGCAGCTAGTTTTATTTTTACAATTTTTCGATGCATGACCGTAGTTGTTGCAATTGTAACACCTAGTTACTTCGACAGCATCATAGATGGAACAACCATCGAGACCAATAAGACAGTGACCCACGCCCAATGCTTTTTTATATGTGTACAAATCGACTTCAATTAAGGCTTGATATACAGTATTATTTCTTTTTGTACAGCTCAGTTTTAACAAATTAACACTCGAATTAACATCAAAAATAGACTCATTTTGTTTTTTAAGGTATAACAAGAAGTTCTCCTCATCAATATCATCTGAAAAACCAGTTATTCTAATTGTTGGTCTTATACTTTTAACTTCACGAATTTCATAGTCATCAGCAAACTTACCTTTAGCAATTTGTTTGAACGATTTAGTATTTTCACACCCAAGCAGCAGTCCCCCATCCTTGAGTGGTTTTACTCTCCCAATAATATCTAAAGAAGAATTAAGAGGATCTATCGCGTTTAATACATCTGATTTAGTCTTTGAAACCGACTGAGTTTTATCTTTAGGCTGCACAATTACAGTTTTCTGAGACTTTTTTACCAAGGACTCGGCATACGATAATTTGGCATTTAATTCATCCTTATTTACCCCCTTAGATATTTGTATATCAGAATTTTTACCGCTCTTCAACGTTAAATTAAGTTTCTCAAATTCTGACTTAAGAATAATGTTTTCACTGGTTAAATCGCTAATTTTTGACTCAAGTTCAGTAACTCTAAGAGTTAAAGCACCAATATGCTCGATAAATAGCTGCGAAATGTTATCTACATGTTCCTTTACTATATTATTCATCATATTTTTTAACTGATCAGTCGAAATATAGGTATTCAGCGAAGAAACAGAGGGGTTTTTATTAACAGCTGCTTTAGCCTCCAAAAATTTTGAAGAACAGGCGGTACACGTCCATGATTCAACATTTCCCGACTCAACTAAGCCGTCGTAAGTCTCTTCAGAGATACCAGCACATACTAAATGAAAACTACCCTTACAGTCCCTATGACAAGTAACATGGTTCTCAGTACGTGTATTGACTGTCCGATTACATTTTGCACATTTAAGAGCCATACTTATTTAAAAAAAAAAAAATGAGAGTTTCGTCTTTTAGAGTATTATTAATGAACACCGCACCAAGTTAACAGCACTGCGCTCACGCTGTCCCCTCGATAGGGCAAGGTCGCGAGCGCACAGTAATAAGAACTATTAGACAAAAAGGAAAGCTGATAAGATAACGTCTCACTCGGAATCACCAGAAATCCAAAAATGAACCATATACCACCCCAAACAGGGGTCACCCCTGATATCACAACGCTCTCCCGATGGTCCACACCACTACACCCCACACTGGCTCCAAATAAAATTAAATTGTTAATAATATCTTAGTGAAAATTACTAAATAACAGACAGCACTACTACCACACGACCGCACCGCACCGTTCAGTCACTTGAAGACTATAATACTAATAATTGTACACAAAAATAAAAATGGGTGGCATGTACTAGTGACATTGGCCATTTTTTTCTTTCTTATAAATTATTAATATATTCAAGCAAAACATTTTTATTCAATTTTGACGTTTTAAACTGCGTTTATTAAATCCTTAACAAGTCTGACAAATAAGTTGTTATCCACAAGTGAATTGCAAAATTTTTATTTCACTCTTAATATTTTTAAATCACTCACAAAAAAATAAAAAACAACTTCAGGAACATAAACATTTTGCTTATTATTTTTAATAATTTTCACAGAATACAATTTGTTAACAATTTTCACTAAAAGGTTGCTGCAACTAAATTAGTATTGTTTGAGATATTTGTTTGGCTCTGTGAGATGTCAATTTGGGAATTGTATAAATCCCACACCAATACAATTCCAAAGTGTGTTTCGGAAACTATTTACTACAGATTATTTCGATACGAGTGCAAGAACCAACTGTGAAACACTATTTTATTTGAAATGAAAAATTTGCTAAGGTGTTCTTTTAAACAAACTTCCACAACACATCTCCCCTGTATTCCGGCCTCTTCAACAATCATTAAGTGATGTGTTACCGGAAACTCACCTTGAAAGAACACAACTGTTTATGGTATGTTTGTGGATACTCATTAATACGAAAATTCTTACACCACCACTTCAGCGAAGTTTGTTGTGAACTTTGCACATTCTTACGAAGTGGTACATCCTGTTTTAATTGTGTGACATTTTAAAGTCTTCAATGAAGATGTGATTTTTGGCGATTTAATGATACCACCTAAACATGTTGCAGTTTATACTCCGATGGGTAATACATTTTGTGAGTTTTTCCCAATTTATGCACCATAGTCGTTAACTGGTTTGCGACTAAAAAACGAACCATACAAAAATACCATTCCACCACCCCTGCAAAGACTTTCCTCTTGATTACCTCGTTTCAGTTTTTATTATTTAGAATTTTTTACACACTAAAATTTAAAAATAAATCTTCGACCGCTCAAACACGCACACATCGAAAATTAAACTATTTCGTTTAACCTGCAGTTTGTTGACCTCTTTAGCCTGGAATTTTCTAGTATGTTTTACATGTATCGTAAGTATCTATTACTTTGTTAAAATAAATTTTACGTTTGTTTTTAACCCCATAACCCAACATCCCGTATGATTCCGTAATTAATATGACATTTCTTGTTGACAAAACCAGACAAAACGTTCACCGAAAACCTTAAAATGAAAAAGAAACTATGTTCTTCAAGGTCGGAGCACCTTTAGTGACGCTAGTGACCTCTTTATGTCGTTCCGTAAGCTCCCCATGTATTTCTTATGGAATCAGCTGAGACTTTCATAGCCCTGGTTCATGTTTCAAGTCAAACCTTGTTGTGATTAGTTATAAATTGACGAGACTGAGGAATACGATAAGATTAAGTACCAACGACAAATTATGAAGATGAACAATGTAAAAAACGATGGTTTTACCAAATTTTTATTTTTAGAAGTGACACGATGTAAGCTCACAGCCTTGCTGCCAAACTATCACTGCCCTTAGATTGGAGTAAAAGAAATAAATAACGAACATTGTAGGAATTTGAAAATGTTTACAACAATAAGGTAGGCATTTTTAACATATTTGTTTCCTTATTTGTGTGCACAACTCATGTTTCTGTGCTATATTATCCGCTGTACTTATAGCTAGTACAATTAAAAAACCGACAAAATTAGGTGGCGACAATTTTAATAGTAATACAGATAATTATAATATTCATTTCATAACTGTTTTATTGTTATTTGTTTTTATTATTGTTACTTGATTTTACAATAAAGCATTTGTTTTTGTTTAAATGAACCGTATACTTAAGCCACGTGCCCACTTGACAGTAACTCTCAGGAGAGTTCTATTTATTATTGAAATTAATTGAGGTATTATAATGAAACATGTAAACGGACTTTTCGGAGATCACACTTCGAAACTTCCACTATTTTCGCAGGTATAATAAGTCCGAATTTAGTTTCCTCCAGATCCTGTAAAATATGTTTCGTTTTTATAAAGAACTGAGAACCACCTATGATTCATTGCTTGTGATCGTAGAGTAGTATTTACGGTATTCTTCGAATACATCCAAAAATAAAGCGACCCAAAATGATTTACACTATAAATAATGCTGTCTAATCCCTTGTTTTTTTTTTTTATATAAAAGTAGTAAAACTAATATCAGATTGTCATTATAAACGTTTGAGTCGTATTTTAAGGTATCTTAGATGTCTGCCTTCTTCAAACCTTCGCTGCCACTTTTCGTCCTTAAAAAAAATTTGGGGTAGAAGAAAGTAAGTAAGTGAAGTATACGCATGTGTACACAGGTTGTGACTTAAGTTTTTTGAAGAATTGACAATGGGAAATTCAGCATTGTTGAACCTGGCAACATATCGGATCCACAACCAGTTCCGGATTATATTGCGAAACCTAGTTATCATTTGACTGGAGAGCCAATAGAGCGTATTGAAATACCAGAAGTAAAAAATTCTGTACAAATTGTGAAAATGAGGGAAAGCTGTAAATTAGCTGCTAACGTTCTCAGGGAGGTAGAGAATTATATAAAGGTAAATTTATTATTATTATCTACACCTTTTTAAAAACCGCGTTGTTTACTTTTTGTTTTATTTTTAGGTTGGCATCACAACAGACGATGTCGATGAGTTTGTTCATAATCTAATCATTAGGCAAAATGCTTACCCATCACCTTTAAATTATAAGCTTTTTCCGAAGTCTGTGTGTACTTCCGTTAATAATGTAGCGTGTCATGGCATTCCGGACGACAGAATGCTGGAGGATGGCGACATTATTAATGTGGATATTACGGTAAGATTATTTTTGATTGTTAACTAAATTCTTTTGAGTATTGAATTAATTTTAGCCCACAAAATATCGATTGTTTTTCTTTTTTATTTCAAGGAAAAAACAATAAAATTTTCCCTGAAATAAAAAACAATCGATATTTTGTGGGAAGAAGAGTGTTTAGATAATATCCCCCGGGACTAAAATTGTATCCCCCACGCTCTCGGACATAATTAACTAAATTGTCACATATTCTTAAAGCGCTCGGACAAAAATCCGACGTACCGCCCTTAAAAAAATTATGAGATATACTCCACGTATGTTTGCGAATTGAAGTTGTCCTAAAAGAATACATATTAGGTTCCATTGTTATCGATGTAAAGGAACGTTAAACTAGAATTTAAACCTATTATAAAAAAGATACATATAGATGCAATTGCAAACAATTTAAAACACGTGACATAATTTACATCATGTAAAATACATGACTTCATCCTAGTCAGTGCGGAAGCGGTTTTGTTTGGAACTGAAATCTGCCGGATAAAACATCGTTGATTAAACTTTATTTTCTTTTGCGTTAAAAACAAGATTTCTATTTTTTTAGGTCTACTACAAAGGTTACCACGGCGACTGCTCAAAAACTTTTTTAATCGGAAATGTAGATGATCTGGGGAAAGAACTTGTAGCAGCAACGGAAATTTGTCTTAATGATGCGATTTCAATCTGTAAACCTGGCCGTAAATTTAACGCAATTGGAGATGCCATCTCTCAAAAAGCCAAAAGTTTGGGTTTTACTGTAGTTCCAGCTTTTATAGGGCATGGAATTGGACACTATTTCCATGGACCTCCCGACATTTTTCATATTCGTACGTAAATATTTTAAATAGGTTTAATACTTACCAGTGCCCGTACTTACTTGTCATTTTGGACTTCTAATCAGTTTTTTATTTCATTAGCCAACGACTGTCCTGGTGAAATGAAAGCTGGGATGACATTTACCATAGAACCGGTTCTTTCATGTGGAGGGAAAGAAATTGTGGTCCTTGAAGACGGATGGACTGCGATAACACTTGATTCTGCCAGAACTGCACAATTTGAACATACTGTTTTGATTACTAACGCAGGTGTTGAGGTGTTAACAGAATCACAGAAGTGATTAAATGAAATAAAATATTAAACACTTCAATAGAAATTTTTTATAAATGGTATGTACAGTGTAGCATTTTTAGTTTTAAAACTTCATTTGTGTACATATTGCTCCCACTTTTAATACTATACATTCATAATTTACAATTAAAAGTGAGATGAAACGAAAAATAACCAAACTTTAATAACACAAGTTAAATAGATAATTGAATTCAGTAGAAAATGGAATGTTTCATTTTAATGAAATTGTTTGGTTATTTTTCTTCCCTTTTTCTTCATATATACATGGATGGCGATTTAAAATGCTGACATATCTTTCTTGTATTCCTATGAATTTATTACAAAAATATAATTTTTAACTTGGAAACTACAGTTTTAACTGCTTGTTTCTAACACATCGAAACCGCCCTGAAGTACTTAATGATTATAAATGCTTTCTAAGTTGAGCAGTCTCAATAAATTTAATTTATTACAACATAGATGCCGACAAGATATGCCAACATTAAAGTTAAGATTTTTAACAACGAAGAAAATAATTTAAAGAAAAACTGCGTAACAAGAGCAATACAAAACATAACTTACTTTTTTTGTACTATAGTAAGACATACAAAATTCTTGTGAAAAATAATATTAACAGAATAAAATGTTGTTTTAGTTTAAAATAGCTATTGCACTACTTATTAACTTTTAAACTAAAACACCAAAACGAAAAACATGAATTTTGGACTATAAGTAGAAAATCAATTAAAATATCTGTACAAAACAAAAGTACGTTTAATCCTTAGCTTATTAAAAAAGTATCACTTCGAGGGTATTTTCAACGTTATAAATAAATCAATAAATAATTTGACAACAGAAACTACTGAGTAGTAACACAATATAAAAACAATGTATTATGAAAAATTTAACTTGGAGCATTAGACAAAACACTTTCGAAAAGAGAGTTTTAAAAAAATAAACGTTGCGGATATATTCAAGGAACTGAAATATTACAAAAACAAAATTTAAACAATCTGTCATACACTATGAATTTTAATAATTGATTTCCCTCATGTAGCGTCTTCGTTCAGCCTTTCTACTCGATACCTATTGTAAGATACATATGGAGTTCGTGAAAGATCATTGTCCGTTAGCACCCGCGTTCGGTTGGGCACAACGCCTTCACCACGACCCATCAACCAGTCTATACAATGTTTATGTTGCACATCACTAACGTTCACACTAGCCCATTTCTTTAACCACACACGGAACTTCGATGACAGCCGTTTAGTTACCTCTGGGTGAGTCTGTGAAAATAAAGATAAAATTAAACCTTCAATTTCTAGCTGATGACTGTTGACTGTTGCGCAACAAACGGTCATTATAAACCTACCTTTCTCGCTCTGCTGAAGGCACGTAATTTATAGAGATAACTATCTTTGTTCACATTGAACATGATTTTGGAATCTTGTGGATTGAATTTACACTGGGTTTCATCTGACACCTCATAACCTGGATGATCTGTTTGGTTTCGTTCAGGCAAAGGGCGCTCATTCAGTTTTCTTTCAAGTTCTTCCAACATTGCAAATTTCTTATCAGCGTCATCTGTTCTACTGGACTTCTTTTCATCGTTCTTTTTTTGATCATCACTTGATTCACCTTGACTGCTCGCGGAATTCTTTTTATCACCCGCTTTATTATAGAGGCCCCTTCGTTTTTTATACATTCGTAGATTTCTATTTAAATAGACTGGTGAACGCGGCTTATTGTCTGCATTCGTAATATCAGTATAACATTCCTTATAACTACTCCACTTTTTAGCATCATCGACCTTTTTTGGGTCTTCTGAATCTGTATCCAACAATTCAACTGTCATTCTACAGTCTTTCTTGTAGATGTAAATTTTAAAACAGTTTTCATCTTGAACAGCTTTTTCGCCACTTCTTTGATAAGCCATTTCCAGATGTGCTCTCTTATGAGCAGTGGCACATGAACCCCCTGTGGCGCCACGTTTCTGTTCTTTAACGAACAGGTCCGTGCACGCTATGGCTGTTCGTTCTGTCACGCAATGTTGAAGCTGTCGTACCGCATAAGATACAACTTTGTCCAACGTGAAGGCAATATATGCGTGGATACCGAACATCTCTCTTAAAGTGTCCTCATACGTGTTTGCATCCATGTTACCGTCTAACAGATTTTTGACCATATCCAAAAACGCAACGTAGTAATCTTCCACTTCGATCTGAGGCTTTGGTTTTAGTCTCAGCGCAACGGCTGTACTTTCTTTGCGGCCTGTCCGTGATTTCGCCTCTTCAGCGGCCAAAATTACAGCACGCTCATATATTTTTGCTAATCGTTCGCATAAGACGGCATGTAACCGTAAAAATATGTACCAATTGTTGTTGGCCATGAACAGGGTGTAAGCTTCATCCTGCAAAATAATAATAATAATAATATATGCTTCCACATCGGTTTTAATGATGCTTACCGGATCTGATACTTGTGCGTGCAACGGAACTTTGACGTCGTCTTCTTTTGCATCAGGGTCAGTTTTTACTTCCACTTCGCCGTCTAAACGTCCTGGAGACTTCCCTGGACTTGAGTCGCTTTTACCTTTGGGGTTATTCGTATTAGGGCTACTAATGGGGCTTTCGTCGCCATCCTCTTTTTCGTCTATAAAATTTCAACAACATTCAACGATTTTTCAAAATAGTTATCAACGAGTTGTTAGATTGAAATGTTACGGCGGAGGTTTTCTTGGTAAACGAAAATTATTAATTTAACAAGTTTTGTCCACACAGTATTTTTTAGCGGTTATATGTGTAAGCTCTACTTTTGCTTTTTCAACAGATGCTCAATTAAATTTCACTGCGTATTTTATTTTCTGCAAAATTGAAGACGTTGGAGTCGGTCAGAATTGTATTTTTCTACCTTTATACATAATGAGCCATACCAGCTTATTTCTTGCTACGCAATTTTTCAGTATTAAATTTAATCTACTTCGTTTTTAGCACCGTCTATTTAGATTTATGAAAATTTTATCACAAAGATAAATATGTATTCTGCAGCAAGTTCTTCGTCTACTACATTCAGCAAGAAATTGTAAATTCTACGAAGTTTGTGCGAGTTTAGGCTGACTTTTTTTTAGAGTTTGATCCGATTTAACGCTTAAATGAAGTTAGAGTAGCACCTGGGACCCTCGTAGTAGCACTTTCATTTAAGTGATGTCTCGTCGAAATTCAGCGCCTAAATTCCTATGAACCGTTTGCAGTGGCGCGTGAAATTTAAGCATTTGGAAACAGACCCACAAAGCACCCAACAGCTACCAGATAAATTGTTAATGCACCAGTTTGTCCTTCTAAAACGGTTCTAGGTGTCTTAGCAAACAACGAATTTGGCTTCTTTAAAAAAATATAAAAAATGTTTGTTTTCTGATAACCTTCACACAGGGTCTCTAGAATGTATGGAAACAGTTAAATATCTTGAGAACCAGTTGTACAAATCAAATGAAATTAGATATAGGGGTGCAAGAAGCTGTGCTCTAATTATTCGTCAGACAAACACATCAAATAAAATGGTAACAGCTCTGTAGGCGCACGACTCATACATTTTTGTTGTGCAGTTTTTTGAAATTACAAAGTGTTATTGTTAAGTACGTGACGAATTGTAAACAGCATATCTGCGATTTCTTGAAGACTAATTAGACAAACAAAGTCATAAAAATTCGTCGATTCTTTTCGGTGAACAGATGAACCGGCGTCAATAGCACCCCCCAATTTCTGCGCCACGGGAACGCAAATTTCAATTATTATTTTATCATTACTCATTCTTAATTTGCTGAATAAACAATTCTGTAATGACGTGATCAAACAGGATGTTCTGAATATTATTATAATTTTTATTAAATAAAGGCAGGCGTATTCACATTTTCAAAAAAGTGGGGTAATTTCATTCAAATAAAAATTGCTAGAACGCCATAAGAAAAAAATTGGTCGAAAGTTGTTTCGCAAGAATCTCCTTCACCCCTGGAGTACAATGAAATGTATTCAGCATTTTCGAAAAATTATAAAATTGATTTTGCGATTTTATATTTTTTGAGAACCCCTATAAATTGAAAGAAACGTATGAAAATATCTAATGCCAAAGTAAATGAAGCATGCTACGCCAATATTTCAAATGAGTCTTTAGTTTACAAAATTTTGTGAAGACGTCAATCAATATTTTTGCAAGAACTCAACTTAGGTTAGTGCAGTAATACTAACAATAACGTATTATATGACTCGGTCTTTAATTTTTTTCAGACACCCCGTATAAGCAAATCTAAAAAATATTAATGTAGTGATAAATCACAAGTATAGACTCATCATAATTTGCACAATTTAGATAGTTTTTTTTCGGCAAAATTATAACATGACGTCAATTTTTGGGGGGATAAAGAGATATATTTTGATTAAAAAATTACCGTGCGTGCTATAACTTTGAAACGTCCCCAAGATTTCAAGACATGCGGTTTTGCATTTCCTGATTTAATCAATAAAATAAATTGAATCATTTTTTTTCAACGTCCTGTATAGGCAAATCGAAAAAATATGAATGCAAATGCAATAATTTCAAAAGCGTGTGGTATACTTTATTAAACGATAAAAAAAAATAAGAATGAGAAACGATACTGCAAGCAAAACTCAGGCGGCTGTCTGGATGTTAAGTCATAAATTAATGGAACGCCCGGAAGTGGCCAATTTTGTATTTTCCACAATCTCGACATCATATGTGTCAACAAACGGTCAGTCAAAGACCAAATCGTATTTTTGTAATAACAAAAATAAAAACAAATTTTATTTTCCAGAACTTTTTAACTTCCGGGGCCTGATGGTCCAGCATCCGAAGCATATCCGTATAAACCGTCTCTGTACAAGTACGGACATTATAAAATATATTTTACAGCACATTATCAACGGGAATAGTGATATCTGAGCAATATGCGTAGTGTTTAAAATGTTGATGTTTATATCACGTAGACATTTGTTTAATTTGAATGAGTTTATCGCCTCAAAATAGACGACTAAAATTATTCAAAAGACTCAACTGAACAAAATATTCTAAATGTAATTATTATAATTCTTACGTTATCATTATTTTATTGTTATAAAGAACGTATTCTCACATTTTCGAGAAAATGGGGTGGCTCGTTCTTAATTTGATCAACAATAAACTGACTGATTCATTAATTTTTTGAGTCACCCTGTATAAGTTAATCTAAAAAATATGAATGCAATGATAAATTACAAGTATAGTCTGATCATATTTTGCACATTTTCCAAAGGATTTATTCGGCAAAATTTTGAGACGACGTAATCAATTTTTTGGGGTTGATAAACATACATTTTGATTAAAAAGTTACCATGCTTACAATAACTTCAAAACGCCTGCAAGATTTCAAAGCATCCAGTTTTGTAATTCTTGATTTAATCAATAAAATAAATTAACTCAGTCATAATTTTTTTGAGACACCCCGTATAAGCAAAACAATCGGTCCGGCAGTTTCGGAGATTGGGTGTCTAGTAAAAATGGATACAGACGGAAACGGGAGACTACTTTTTCTTACTGATGGCCATGAAACGTCGAGAAAATATAAAAGTGGCCATTTGTCCGATGAACTCGATTACTATACTTTCTTAGCTTATGTTCGGCAAGTAAAAAAGTTATTTTGACATTAAAATGACTCGATTTGTAATGGCCGCCTAAAAAATTAGATCATAGTGCTTTGGAGAAAAAGTACGAAATCTTTTCAGATTCCAAAAAGAATTTAATAAAGCGTCTGGTTCTGAGACCGTACGACATTTAATGAGCAACGTAAAAAGTGAAGGTAGAAATTTCGCTTACGGCCTAAAGTAATGTACTTTAGTTACTACCAACTTAAAAACTTAAAAGGCTACAATCCCATTACTATTTTTGTGACATTTTTTTTTCTGCACCTCATTTCGTTAATATTCGCTTGTAATCAATTGATGTTTCTTTGTCTTGTTTTAACTAAATTTATTTCTCCCAGGGATATAATTTTATGTAACAATAAACACTGCAATTAGCTTATTTTATCTAAGGAACTCCAAAGCTGAATATGTGCATCAAATAGAATAAAATTCATAATTAAAAATATTTTTTATGTTAAATTTCGAAACAATTAACATATTTTATTTATCGCTCGTTTAAAAACGGGCTAAACATATATTGTTTCAGGAATGTGCTAAACGTAACCGTAATTATTTTACATAGTTGACATTCATCACAGAAATACAATTAACAGTTCCGTGCCAATTCTATATTTTCGGATTACAGTATTTTAAAATAATTTTACATAACCATTAAAAATTTTGTCCTGAAACCGCGAATAACTGATTTTATCGTCGATGAAACGAAATGTACAAATTCCAAGGAAAAAATCTGTTTTGAAATGATAATTTTTAATCAGTATTATGAATTGAATTATTAACCTCTTGAAGTATTATTATTTATGCTACAAATCGTGGACAAAACACATTAGGTTTGCTTTTTTTTTAAGAATTCCAGCAACAATGTGGTAAAAAAAAAACACTGAATAATTTAAGAGATTTACCCTAAGTCGAGAGTTAATATACAAAGCTGTACCAACGGCACTTTTTTAAATGCTTTTTCAAACGAAGAAATATAAAATAAAATAGTCAATCTTACCGTCATCCTCTCGTTCATCGTCTGTTAGTTGCTGCTTTGGATGGAAAAACAGTTCAGGCAGAAACTGTCGTAGAAGATGTTTTATTCGCCTCTTTTCACCTTTCTGGATACCCGTCTGTCTCTTAACATGGTGAATTAGAAGATTTGCTGCATCATCGAGAATCGTACGATCTCGATATGGAATAATTAAATGGGGACCTGTAACTGGTTCTGCACCTTCTTCATTTTGTTCATGTCTCTGAAAAGACGATAAAATTAAGATTTTTTCAAAATTAATTTAAAAAGGTCTTACTTCATCAAACAAAGTTTCAATTTCGTTAAACAAACTTTTCGACCTCAGAGCCTTTACATCTGTTTGCTTGAAATTTATACCTTGATGATCCAAACTTTTAAGATAATATTTTTCATTTTGTTCTCGCCAAATTTTATTGAAACCTTTTTGTGCTTCTCGCCACTCTTCTTCCTTAGCTTTAAGTCTTCGAAGTACAACAGGCACAGCTGTTTGAGGATTACGTTTCAGGCCATCAATAATATCTTGAGCTTTATCTCCGTAAATTCTTTTAAGTGCTCGTTGGTGTAATGTAGGAGAAGAACCACCTAAACAATCGTCCAAGCGATATTTAGCCACATCTTCAGCATTCATTCGACTTAGTTTTTTGTTAACACCTTCTAGGACTCTAATTGTAGATGCGTTCGTTTCAATAACTACGTCTAACTCGAATCTTTCATCTTCACACCGGTACATGTACTCTTCATACTGGGTCTTGCGTGAACTAACGAAAGTACTATCCTCTGACCACGTAGGAAATGACACCCACTGATCATTTAACACTTCTTTGCACAGCTGTGTGCGACCGGAGCAACTTAACCCTTCTTGCGATGGGGGAATTACACAGTAACTAGCACCCAAACGTTTAGCTGTCGTTAAATCGATTTCTAACGCTGTTTCCCCTTGAGGTCTTTCTGTACGAGTGGCACTGTACGGCATGGGTTCCACATCATTTTGACCGAGAAATTCACGGAACCATCGCATTAATTCAGGAAATTTTCCTAAGAAGGGACTCACTACCATTATTAATTCACTCTTGGATATGATCTCTTGATTGAAGAGGATTAGACAACGAAGAAAATTGTTGTATACCTCTTGTGAGCGCACAGCCTTGCGTACCTGTCCACAATTAAAATAATAGATGAACAAACTGATACTATTTACTTAAAAAAAAAAATAATGTTGCATAGTAATGAGAAGATATGCTTATAATTTAAACATCCTTCACTCTAACTTGCTTTTATATTGCACTGTTTCTTTTCACAACTCTCAAGAGCGAGGTTATGTTTAGATCGTTCAGTGCAAATTTACAATTATTACGTCCCTGACATTGATATACGTTATTAAAATGTTATAGTTTTTTTTATAAATATATTTTTTGTAACAAAACATGATTTATCTGTGGGTTTAATCAAACAATAATATTCGCATAAGAAACAATAAATTTACCTTATCGAAAAATGCATAGTCATTTAACGTTCCATACTTTCCAGCCTCTGCCAAAGTAACGTCTCTGCACGATGATATTTTGTGTTTTTTTGGAGGAGGTGCATCCCTGTGTATCATGGGAGTGTACGTTGGAGAGCGTTTAAGTTGTCCAGAAATGTGGCTTGGTTTATGAGAAGGTCTCTCCATTATGGTTTCCCTAGGATATGGTTTTGCTGAAGGTTTTTTCACTACGGAATGATCAGAAATTGGCGTTGGATTGATGTGACTCGTGGCATCTGGTAAAAATTGGCCAAATTCGGCTAAAAGATCACTCTGGTTTTCAAATAGCTTTGCTACTTGACTGTACACTTCTTGCTCAGTTAGATGTTTGCCACTTGAACCACCACTTGGCGACTCTTTCATTGTGCGTTGTTCTTTTTGGTAGATGTGCAAAATATCCAAGAACCTTTTGTATTTCTCGGGTTGATCTTGAAAGCGGTTCTAAACAAAAACACAAATATATTTTATTTGTTGTTGCAGTTTTTTCTATGGAATTTTGTACGCTAGTTGCTGTCTTAATAAGCGATATTCTAACTTTCTGTTTCCTTATTCTTATACATGATTAGGTACGTTGTTTGCTTAGAGGAGTTGAGAAAATATTAGTAAAATTTTAAGTTATTTTTAATGACCACTTCATGAGATAAATAAAATTGTAAAACTGTTAATTATGTATCAATTGTGGAGATAGAAAATGTTTATAACAAAAAGATACATGTTTAATTAATTTAACTACATCTACCCTAAAGTACTTTAGGAATATGTACAGATTATGCCATACCGTTAATTCACTGGATTAGTATCTGAAGAATAAAATTCGATAAAAAAGACAGCTTTGCTTAGCTCATTTGAATGTTTAAGAAAAAAATCCAGACGTTCCCCTTTGAAAGGGATAGCATGAGGGTCTTACAAGGTTATTATGTCAAAAAGGGCGGGAAATGGAAATAAGACCATACTGTCAAACGAACTCCAGAACATAGCTCCGAGTGTGGTCCAAACAGAGCAAGAAATTAAGTGCCTATAAATCATTAAGGAAAAAGTCGGTAAATTAGCAATCATTACTGGGAAAACCATGTGAAACCTGGAGGCTGCACAACACCCACCAAAGTTTAGCTTATTAACAATTGGTTTAATGTGGTTTTCAACATACTAAAAAAGACACAATTTATCCACTCGAAGGAGACTGATTAATTTCGAATTGCTTTTTTTCTTACACATATGGAATAGCTCTTCGCTGTAAATTTTCCAAATACTAACATTTCTTTAAGGTTTAGCTCAAAATACTAGCGATGCAAGGTTTTATACTATAGATATGATTCAATTACTTGTAACTACATCAATGAAATTTTTATAAAAAAGACTTACACATTAATAACAAGTCTTAACGCAAAACTATTTTCCGTTAACTGGCTATTTTGGAGCAAAGTCACTGTGAAGCAGCTTTTAAAGTTTAAAACATTAATATTTCATTGCTATATTTTACAGACGTAGAAACATAAATATTAATTATATTTTTCAATATACATATTAAAATGTAGTCAACACTGAACTACGTTTAATCGCAATCACAATTTTTGAATTTATTCTTCATATTTCATACTCAAATAAAAGCTAAAATTTCGGTGTGTCCGGTGTTAAGTTATCAAAATAATACTACTTTTCTACTGAAATTATAAATATAATATTGCGTCTGATGTTAAAACATCTGTCAATATTGAAAATATTTTTGCTAAATCATACTATGAGTGATCAATAAAAAATCAAACGTGTTGTCGCTCTTCCACCAAGTATAATGCAAAAAAATATTAAAGGTCTCCCATGGCTGTAGATCGTGAAACTAAAGTGTCTACTCAAAATCATTTAAAAATTAGTACATAAAATTTCGATGTTCTGCAATAGAACAAATCAAACTTGCAAGTAGATAATATTTGTCATACCCGTGAACACTTAAATCTATTACGCAATTTTTATTAAAATGAAATCAGTGCACGCAAAAGAATACGCTCATGGTGTCACTATTATTATGGAGTGCTATGATTTTTTTTGGCAAATAATTTGATTTATGAAAGACCTGTTATAATAATAAAAAAACTGTTTATCATATAAATATAAAATATGTATATTTGAGTACTGAAGCTGACACATTAGATCTCGTCAAGTAAGAAATGTGCTTTACAAGTAATTTAGTTAAAAAAAAAAATAACTTCGAAAAAACTAAAAAAAGAATCGTGTTAGAGTACTTCACTGCGAAAACGTGTGTGTAAAAATTACTACCCTTCGTACACAAATATTTCTGCTTATTAAAATTCAAAATGTACAGTTCGGCCTTGTAGGTCATTTAATAATTTCAAGTAGGTGGTGTTCGAGGCACTAACACTCATTTGTGCTAGATGTTGTCATACTAATTGTCACGACCATCAAAACCATTAATGAAGATCAAGAAAATCATCTTAATCAAAATTTAGACTGGGAAAATCTACAGTTTATTATCGAACAATCAAAAGTATATCGTGTACTAATACATTTGATTTATGATTGTAACCGGACCACGCTTGAAAAAATTACGTATGTATAGCACAATAATGGTATTGTTTGTATTCACTTAAATAAATTACAAATAACTACATAACCTACATGTATTTTAAGTAACACCGGTGACGCTGTGTTCTGACCCAATGACATCAACGTCACCAACATAATTAAGAACCATATTTACACAACTAACTTAACCGTGATGTATGATGACAACTAATGGCTTGTTTATTGTAACAGTTAGGAGTTACATTAAGGTAAAATTTTGGTTATAAGATGAGCAAATATACTACAAATTTTTATATTTAGAAAATTATTAACCAAATTTGAATTGAACTGGTTACCACGTGTTACGACAGAAAAGATCTAAACACTCCTTATAAAGACTAAAAATCTAACAAGCTACGCCGAGGGAAGTGTATTAAGAAAAGCAAACTCATTTTTTCATCCTCTCATTGGGCGGTACATTGTATTTGTTTCGAGAAATCGAGCTATTACGCTTTGATGATTATGATAAAAAAAAAAGCAAACAAAGTATAACGATGCAATTTTAGCCAAATTGTCAACAATTTGGAAAAAGTTTAAAAGGCGTAACGTTAATTTGAATATTTGGTGGAAGATGTATAAATATAAAATGTCGGATTGAAATAGTGTACACATATACAGAATTTTCATTGGTCTTTTTTTTTTAATCTGCTATTCTCAGTGCAATATAAATCTCGTAATCTCAAAAGTTGTATTAATTAAAATGTAAAGAAAGCTTGTGTTTCTTAATACTTTTAAGCAGTTCAAACTAGAGCTTTTATACTTGAATTGCCAAACAGATGAAGTAAAAGGCGTGATCAATGCGTGAACCTGAGGTTTTTATTGGTTAGAGAACACGTGCCTTAAAGCCGGTTTTACACTGTACTCTAAAATAGAAACTCCAGATCTCGCCGGGCATTATGATTCATTGTTATTGTGAATTTATTGTGGTTGATTTTGTCTTTATTTTAACAAAATCGACTTTATTCAAGTCAATTATTCTTTGTCCTTAAATTGTATTTGAATATGGGAGTACTTTTTGTATCTCTCTTGATTTTACTAATGTAAATTTCACATCAACTTAATTGGGCTTTCGGGCAAGTTGTTCATGCCATTTTCACGTGATTATCGCATTTGTTTGGTAATTCTAGCATAACAATGTTGGTTACAGCAGGCGCCGAACAATCCCTACGTTATTGCGGTTAAATTTTTAAATGTTTACCTTAATTTTGTTAACGTAGTTGATAGCATGGTTAAACTGCACTGGTTGGTTCTGCGGCGTGTCCGTGTGCCCTTGCAACGCCTGACTAACTGCAACTTGTGCTGCCGACAGCGACATCGAGTTGTTGTAAGTTGGTGCACCGCTTCCATAACTCGAAGGATGATGCACGACCGGCATGGACGGTGCAGCTTGTGGAGCTACCGGGGGAACGTGTTGGGTTAAGAGCGGTTGACAAGGAGGCATCGTGGTCAACGGTACCGAACTCGACATATTTATCGTACCCGAACCCCTCATAATCATCTTCTGTTGTTGAGGATCAGAAGGTAAATTACCTGTCGGACTAGGCATGCTAACTGACACTTGAAATGCGTATCCTTGATCGCTCTTCTGCACTTCGATTTTATAACCCGGTGGCAAAAAAGTGTTAAAACCGACAATTAAATCAGGAAAACCTTTGAATAAATTAGACACTCGTTGTATTACTCCCGGAGTATCAATACTTTGACTCTTGAATTCTTTCATTATGTCCAAAAAGTCATTGTACACTTGAGGCTTTGAGCCAAACTTGAATTTAACGAGGTCCAAATAGGAGAGCGCATCCTCAACTTTGAGGCGTTGAAAATTGCCGCCCGGAGATTGCTGCTGTTGAGATTGCGGAGGCTGTTGTTGTTGCTGCTGCAACTCTTGCATTGGGGCCGTTGGTGGGGAAGAACCGGCCGTCCGAATTTGTGAGTGGCCACTCACTGACATGGGCTGCATGGCTGAAGCCTTTCCAGAATGGGGTGCCGTTGCGGCCGGCATTGCACCGTAACTCACCGGAGGCGGCGGGTAAAGTCCTGACTGCATACCTTCACTGACCACTTTAATGTTACCCGCACTCGAGTAGGCCAAAGGAGACGACGTATTCTGCAAGGACTGACTGTACAAAGCAGCAGTTGCAGGTGAACCACTTCCTTCTTTCAGCGTTTCATCCACTCGCAGGCGTTTCATTTCAAATTACATCGAGGCGGCTGCAAAAAAAAGTTCAATCAAAATGGAAGGAATTTTAACCATATAGAAAAACAAGATACGACACTTAATAAAAATTAACAAATTGATAAATGCTTGTATAGTTACTCTATTTTTATTTTATATAAACTAGTACAAAAAAGTGTGTGTATGTCTTGCTCATTATTATTATTACTACATGTGATGATAAAAGAAGATACGTATGACCTATCCATGAATAATAGTAAACAAAACCACAAACCAATTTAAAGAAATGTTAAGCAACTGTTTTAACAGTCCAGTTTTTTTTTTTAATTATTATTATTAAATCGAAAAAGGCTCTCGTGAAGGTGTCAATATATCTAGGTTTTCCCATTCATTGCGTTGACTCATGACTTTTTTTAAGCTTAATAACGGAATGCCAAACTGATTGTCCGCTTTTATGAAGAGTAACTTGTTCAGACGTGCTTTGCCGCATGTGTCCACCCAACCGCCGGTCTCCTTTGCAACTTATTTAAACAATAATAGTATAAGCTTCAACAATCAAATGTTCACTACTAGGTTTTAAAAAACGGCCAATTAAATTAGACGCATCTTCCGAGTTCACAGACGAACAATATGCATGGCTGCAGAAAATTCTGACACGCATAATTTTTCTTTTTGTGAATGTGTTTGATTTAACCATATGCAGCACAAACTTCAATACATAACTAATTTGAAGGCGTGTAATTGGTAAATTAACATGTCTGAACTCGCAAAGACTAGACTATTGGCCCCGAGTTTCAATAACTTTGTCATAGAAACTTCTATATGCATTTAACAATAACTCTCAACGGTAACCCCCTCAATGGAATTAAACCTGGGCCATAATTTCAATGTGAAAAGTATTTTGGTTCACCGGACTATGCTGTATATACTCAGTAAACCATAAACTAGATGTGTTTGATATGTATTAAGCAATAAAAGAAAAAATACCAGCTGGATATTCAAGACGTTTAATTCCTTTTTAATAACAATAATAAATCACTTATGTATGCTAAAAGACAAATAATACCTATTTGTAAAATTACTCGTAGTTGATGTTTTGCCAACAAGTTTCGGGTTAAATCTCACGAATTACATACAATCCCGAATTCCTGAAGTAGTAGGAGTAATTTTTTTCCGTCCTTTTGAAGCAGCACCAAGTCTTTGGGTTTTATTGTATGCGACTGCAATATTTCTACTCATAATAAGGGTGATCTGTCTGCCATAAAAAATCAAATGTTTCTTTTTAATAAAAGTGCAGCAAAATAATGTATAAAGTACATATATAAAATGAAAAATCAAATCCAATACATTCAGTTACATTAAACTATACCTGTCTGAACTTTAAATTTTGGGGGGAAAAAGATCATAGCTTGCACTTGTGTTGTTGGGTCGCATTACTGCACATAGTAAAAAATGTACACTGTTGTTTGCAAGTAGTTCTAAACTCTCTGTAGTAATCTTAATACCACAATGCAGAAGTATTAGCAAAAGGAATATTACATCATCTAGCACGGAATACATGTTCGTTCTAAAGTTGGATTTATTTGTAAAGTTTTTAAATGAAATAAATACAAGTCGCATTGAAAAATATGCATTTAAATAATATTTATGAAAAACTTTTTGAGATGACGTCACATCTACGAATATGATAAAATTTTAATTAGAATATTTTGCAATATATAAATTATACAAATGTCTTAACAAAAAGTGGGACCAGCTATATTCCGTGTTTAATGCTTTATTGGTATTTAGCTTGTCCCACCCCTAATAACCACCCTCTCTTTAAAACCTGTTTACCTACCGTCAGCAGTATAGGACTATCTACTATCTAAATCTATTTTACTATTTAAATCTTATTGTATGTTTATGGTTACCATTGAGAACGTCAGAGCCATAAAAACGGAATACCTCTGGCCAAGCTATACTGGTAAATTTGATGGTGCCTCCAACACAAAGAAAAGTTACACATTTAGTTAAAAGTTCATGATCAACGTGTTCATCTTTCCAAATTAAAAATGAGCATAAGAAGGGCAGAATTTTCAATTAAAAATTATTTTAAGTAATTTTGATTGAGTACAAATATATAAAAATAGATACATAAAAAATTACAGAAATCAAGCTATTAAATGTGGTTTCAATGATGAAGGTGTTTCAAAGCTCTAATAATATACACAATGAAATCTATAACCCTCACCGCCAAGAAAGCAAAATTTTATAACTGTCACTTTACACAATGTGCAGTTAACTTTTTCATTGCATCAATTTACTTGAAAACTACTACTTACTTGGGAATTATTCAACACAACTACAAAAAATTTGTATATAAAAGTACTTCCGCTTACAGCGACATGATGATTTGTTTTTTAAATGGCAATGTTCCTAAATTGAGTTTGTCGAGAATGTTTCTTGAATGCAAAACACAAAATTGTTGAATAAATAGTTAAGATTTTTTTTTATATTAATACTGCTCACAAATATGAAAAACATTGTTAGAAGAAACGCTGTTCGATCTTTCAAAATATGTTCGGACTGCAACACTTTGTTTCTACAGACTTTTAGAGTAAAATAATCGACTTTATACCGAGAGAGGAATAAAAAACATGATCAAATACATTCAAAGTTTCAAATTGACGAATCTTTGGCAAGACAAAAATTTTATCAAAAACAAATCTTCAAAATTCCAGTTTTTATTTTTCAACTGAAAAAAATATTCAAAGGGCACCAATTTGACTGCTGAATGCATGATGATAAAATCCTACAAGAAAGACCTGCTGTTTTAGTAAAATCTTACACAAAACTTAGTAGAAGAAAACATTTGCAATACACAGCAGTTCATGTTTGGCAAATTATTGGAACTTTAGCCATAACACTTAGAACAAATAGAATAGAAGAGACAAATGCAAAAATAAAGTTGTACGTTACGTTGTAAAAGTAGTCAACAGCGGTGTTCGAAGAATTGATGTTTACTACATTCATGATTATAGTATTTAATTAAACAACATTGCGAAACTTTATATTATCCCTTCGGTCGTTGAAACGGCAGTTCCTAAAAGTTACATGATGTAAATAGAGTCGAGTGTGTTTGTTATCAGTCGATTTCCTCATTGTTAAAGTGATTTCAGGATATTCTTTACAAACTCTTTCATTTTTCATACTGGCGAACTCACTTCATAAACCAAAACTCATTCAAATAAGTGAACCAATCTCTGAGGTAGTTTTCTATTTCCCAAATATCCATGATTCTAGCTTAATCAAAATTTGTATAAATATAGGTACATACAGTAAAGGTGGTACGAAGTTGATATTAAAGGTGATGGTCTTCTTAATCTTCACATTATATCTAAAAATGTAAAATCCTTAATTCACTTCTGTCCTGATATTTGTAAACTGTACAGTTGAATCCAGTTGTGCGATGAGGTATTAAAACAAAACTTTTAATTCTGATTTAGATTATATTGTTCTTTTATAAAATAAAGCTATACTTGTAGAAATATGGCAAAAATTTAAATCATAACTATTGGATTTTCCAAAAAGGTTGATGTTTTTATCAATTATAGTTTTTCAATCCTATTCTAGATGAATATGACTTCTCGCCAACTTTATAACCTTCCTATAATTCCTTTCACCATTTCGAGCATAGGGCACCTTATATGTTTCCAGAGCACTTGTTTAAGTTTAGGTCTAGCAGGGTTGGTATTCCTGCGCATTCAGTAGGAAAATCTTAATAAATTTGGACTTGTTTAACAGCAAAGGTCGACATTCAGCTCTATTGACTTGAATGGAATTTAAACCAAGTTCGCGTAATAAATATGGTTGCTAGGACCAATCAGTTTGTGATTTGGATACATAATTGTTGAATTTCTATGAATAAATTGACTATTTCGTGCTTAACAACCTTAAGTGTTTACGTAATATTGGAAAGAAAAAAAAAGTTTTAATAATCGAGAAGTACCAAACATCTAAATTGCTTTTACAATTTTCTTTAGTTGGAACGTTCTTATAACTTAAATTTAAAACACATAATTGTAAACTAATTTGAAACTGAAGTGTAAAGTATGCTCCCTCTATTACTCGATAACACTAAATTAATTTTGGATCTGAAATTGAAATGACCATTTTTACGACAAAACTCAACTCGACACAAAACGTTTTATTTCGTGTGTCCATCAAACTGCAGTTTTGTAGATTACGTCGTCCGCAGATGCCATGTTTAATTCAGCTGATCCGCAAAACGACACGCCCACTTATTTATTTCTGGCATAAACACAACCGGTAGCGTATAAGAAGATCGCTACGCAGTTGGTTATCCCAAGTATCTTAGCTAGAAGTCCAATGCAAGCTGTTTCACATCGCACAATACGGTAAAAAAAACATCGAATATTTTGAATTTATATTAGAAACACATTCATGGATTGCTGCCAAGTTAAGCAGCGACCGGCACATTATGTCACCAGTACAGTAGGATAAACATTAATTTAGCCTTCACCATAAAATGTTAAAACATAACGTATTACATAAAATGACATCAGATACAGCCGCAACAATCCTTTTTCTTACTAAATGCGCATGCGTGTTCAGCGATACTGGCGGCAAATAACCCTTTCTCGGTGGGTACAAATAGAATTGAGAACTGTAGTTACAATTTTACGTGAAACGAACGTACAGACTTGGGAGAAAAAACTACGTTTTACTACATTGGCATCTCCGCACAACTTTCACAAGTGACCTTGAAGTTGTCCAACCCACAAAAAGGAAAATTTACGCGACTGTTTAGAAAGCTTGAAAAATTGGTCGGATCATGATGAATTTTCACACAAATGAAAATATAACGAAAAAATGATTTCGAGTTGACATCGATAACCAAGAGTATGCAGTACGGGTTTTACACACTTACGTTTGCGAGTTTACGTCATGTACCAGTCAAACGAGAGGAGAAGCGGCGTATGCTACGGCGTCTATAACACATAATTTTAAGAACGTTGAGGCACCATCGACAACCCATTTCGATTTGTGACGTTGTGTTGCTGATGTCGTGTTGCATTTTTATGTATCAGTGGATCGTTTGATGCTCTGCGTTTCTGTGCTTATTTCGATCTTGGCAACGTTGCTGTGCCCTCCAATATCGCAACAACGTTGCCTCCTCCGCGGCGCAGAATAAAACACATCTTCAGAGCACCTTTGTGCATGAGTAATCCGTGCACTGGCAACGTCGCGCGTTGACTTCGCTCCCGCGATCTACAAGGCTAGCTCCCTATTGGTGGACGACGGAATCGATAGGAGAGTGGAAGGGCAGGGAACCGGACGTGTAGAGCACTATTGCCATTAATTTCCCTAACGCCGAGTTCCATAAAGGCGAGAATCGCGCGCTGCTCTTTGTCAGTAAACAAATACAAAATGTTGCATCGAAATTTCGTAATTGCAGCAAACCGGCCGAAAGGTTGTCAATACGATGAGCGAAGTCAACCGCATTTCAATTTCTCACGAGGGTTTGGACGATTTACGACTCTGTTACGATTTCTGATGTCCAATGTTATTATCCAACCGAACGATGTGCAAGCGATCTTTTGTAACACGCTTTCCGTGGTTGCCAGGTCAAGTGTCCGCAACGTCGCCGAAAACAAACATCAACTAAAATCGGGATAAAAACGCTAAATTTTTAAAAATAAAGTCAGGACTGAAAAATTCTGCCACCCCGTACACCTCCCACAATGTATACCCAAGGCTAATTTTGGAACATCGCGACCAAAATACGTTAAAAAATTACAGAAAAACGCCGAAAGCGTGGTAAATATTCGTTGATGATTAATCAAATGACATTCTTTGCGTTTTTACAATTACACAACCAAGCCATGAACTTCAAGAGTTAAAAATATGTCACTCACCTTACTAAAGCCTCTTTCGCGGAAATTTTTTCCCTTCTGCAAGGATCTGGAGATGCACCTTCTAACTGCAACCGATCCTTATTGTTTTTAGCAAGAAAAAACAGTTTAACACTAGAATTCATCAAAAGAAAATTCTGACACATTCTGTTCCGAACCTCCCTAAACGCTGACCGATTGTCGACTGACTGGCTGCTTCAAATCTCGAAGCTTGTTTGGACGAGTCCATAGTACCAAGCGGAGGGACGCCATCTCCTGTGTGATCATTTTTACTTGTAAACCGTTGAATAGCACACTAACTTTCAAAAAACCCCACTGAATTCCGCAACGTGTCTCTGTCTGTCACTACACCTCCTAGAATTTGACGAATTTTTCGTTTACAAAATACTGGGATTACCGGCCACCCCTTCGAAGATTGTCTAATCCGTAAAAGGTTTGTTTGGTACTTTTAGCATTAGTTTCATACAAAGATAATGGTGGCGCAATATGCATTTAATTTAAAAAGACCCGCCATAGTTATGTTTTGTTTTTTTAAACTGAAATTGTAGATAAACTTCTCGATAGATACAATTATGCAAGGGATATTTTACATATTAAACATATGTCTAACAAAATTTATAAACAAGTAGTATAATAACTATAAGATAGGCAAAACTAACCACCATAACAAGGGTTATTAAAAGCAAATTGCAACCAAGTGTTTATTTTAAAGTGGAGGAATTGTATTTGAAATAACATCGGTAATTACATAAGAATTTATGGCCCTTATATTACCAAAGATTAAAATTTTAAATCCATAAGAAATCCCAAGCTTTTATCGCGGTTTAATACTAGTTCACATATCTCTTGATTTCCCATTGGTGGTCGCTTTATCACTTTGTGGTAATGTAACCAATCAAGAAGTACGAACGTGTCATTGCCGAATTATGAACGTCAACTTATTTTATTATGAATCGAATCACATAAAGTATATATTTACTCCAAATTTTATTTAGAAACAACTTGGAATCATTTTCCACACCTTGTCAGAAAGATGAAGTTCGTGATATTTGTGATACTTTTTTACTGCTTTAATAATAATATTGGGGCGACAACGAAAATAGACGCACAGGAATTACGGTGTTTGGGTATGGAATACATTTTTATTTTTGTCTAACTCTTCTTTTGACCACTTGCTTCAGTTTGCAAGATTAGTTTACAAGAATTAGATAAGGCAGTCAATAAAATCGATCCCACGAAAACTGTGGATATTGGAGGTTATCGTTTGGACTCTGATGGAAATTATGTTCACAAATCCGTTTCACAGGCCAAATCAGAAATTCATTTATCTGAACTAATTGAAGATATTTGTACAAAAATGGATGACTATGTGAGAGCCACGTGGAAGACAAATGGAACACTAACTTTGTTGAAACTTATTACCGATGATGGCAAGATGAATAGTGACATGGCTGAAGTCGATTTAATCCAAGATGACGATTTAAACAAAAGTCTCAAATACTATGTATGTAACGCCACGATATCGCCAGTAAGAAAAATAATATTGTATTTATTTGTTTTAGTGTGAGGGTATAATGGAAGAATTAGAAGACAACATTATAAAACATTTTCAAGACGATTCAGAAAATATACACACCAAAGTTTGCGTCGAAGAATCAAAAATTTGTCGTTCTGGAAAACGTGTTAGTGAAGAGTTATAACATTTTATGAGATTACAAATCATGATTATGTGCCGTTATCAGTGCTTCCATGAGTAGTTGAGTAGTTAATGTATTTATTTTAATAAACTATTTTTAATTGTTACATTTCATCTTAACCAAGAAAATTTATTATTTGACAGAATTTGACTTGTATAAATTATGCAGTTTTTGGTGCATTTGTTTATATTTGGGTTTGCGGTGTGGTCCCATTTCTCACTTATCTTAAGCACTTATCAAAGTGGTAGCACTAGCACTACAAAACAAATGAAGTGTCAGAAGTGTCAGTGCGTCAGTCGTCTGTCACTTTTTAATTCAACTAAGGTTATGTTATTTTTTGAAGTGTAAATAAGACATGTCATTTATAAAAATATAAAATATATACGTGTAATAATATCAAGAACAAAAAGACAACATGATCAATTATGAAGCAAACATATCCTCCTATGAGACAATATCAACGTTGGGTCAGTGCTTTGAAGGCATGGCTGTGGTTCATTTGTCCAAACACATAAAGTCGGGGACTTTAGTTGCAGTTAAACGATTTAATATGGACAGAATCAAACAGGAGGCTCATTTAGTTGAAGTGCTGAAAATGTATGTGGCAAATGTATTCATCCATTGTAATATAAAATTATTTTAGAGAGAAATCATTCTAACAAGACAACTTCAACATCCAAACATTATAACATATTATGTAGCATTTGTTCACTTACAAGAAGTGTGTGTAGTCAGTCCTTTGATGGCTTTTGGATCTTGTCGAGATCTTCTAAACACACACTTTAATGATGGATTTCCTGAAGCGGCAATAGTTTTAATTTTGAGAGATGTGCTTGATGCTTTAGAGTACATACATAAAAAAGGATTTATACATAGGTTTATAAGTAAACCAGAAATATTATTTCTATTAAATAATCTATTTCAGGTCAGTTAGGGCTGGCCACATATTAATTTCAGCAACAGGAAAGGCATATTTGTCAGGATTGCGTTACGCCTGTCCAATTGTTTTTAATGGAAGATGGCAAAAACAGATTCATTCATTTCCAGCAAGTACAGCACGAAATTTGAACTGGTTGAGTCCAGAACTTCTTGAACAAAACTTGCAAGGTGTTATTGCGTTACGTGTGATAATACTATTATATAATCCATAATTTATAGGATATAATCAAAAGTCTGATATTTACAGTGTAGGAATGGTAATTTGTGAACTTGCCAATGGAGCAGAACCATTTGCAGGAGTTGCAACAACTTTAATGTTAACAGAAAAAGTACGTGGGTGTGTTCCAGAGCTATTAGATTGTACTACGATACCTACTGATGAAAATAGTGATTGTCATGGTAATAATTTTGTTTTTAACGTTATTAGAACCACTCGTGAAACCATTCCATTTAACAAGTTTTAAGTTTTTGCAGACCTATTTTTTAGCATGCAGATACAAAATAGCCCTTAATTAACACACAGAACAAAATACCACCAATGATTATGGTTATTAAGTTTAAATTGACGTTTTGATACACAAAATTTTTAATAAAACTACATTACGTTTGTTATATGATTAACTTTGTGTTGAGAGTGGCTACACTACCAACAAATACTATGTAACGTTTATCCTCAACACCGTAAACACAAAAAATATTTGTTGACGCGTTTCGCCAACCACGTTGGCGTCATCTAGGCAAATCTAAACTCGGATCAACAAATATTTTTTTGAGTGTGTTTCCGGTGTTGTGGGGATAAATGTTATATAGTATTTGTTGTAACGTACCGAGATATCAATAAAATTTTTACACTACCAACACTCATCAGATTTATGACGGTGGTTTTATAATTCACTGTGTGAAACCATTTTTGCATGTGGTGTTTCAGTCCTTTGAGTTTGATTTCAAAATGTGTAACCACTTGGTTTATTAAATTTATAGAGTAGATTTGAAGCGTTATGGTTGTGTTTCTTAGCAAAAAGATAAAAACGTGTATTCTCGAAAATTATTCACTCTAAATGGTCGGGTTCTGCCCGAGGAGCGTGGAATAAGAACGGAGGGATAATACGGTAAAGTTTGTGGTATCGACCATAGAATACCCTTCTGACCTCTCTGAATCTAAACACCGTTTACGACTATGCACTTGAGTTAACCATACCTCTAGGTTTGAAAGTATCGCTAAGCAGCGGCGGAACAATTTGGTTCATCATCCATCTTGAAGATGAGACGAACCGAAACTTATGAAAACTAAGTGTCTTTCTAGTATTGTAATAATAAAATAATTCCATCCCATAATTTACAAAGTTTGTAGCTCACCACGTTGAATTTATATATTATAAAAAAAAACACACAACGTATAAAGGCACCGGTAAAACGATAAGGTTTTCTAGCCTGCTCGCACGTGCAATTAGTTAAATTAGTAACAATATTCTGAAAAAAAATTCTTGCTAAGTTTTATCTGCGACACTTCGTTTCGGAGCCAACACTTACACAAATTTCATTCGAGGTACACCCACATAAAACTTTATGACAGATAATTAGTGAAACCCCTGCACAATGGCAACAGTAATTTATTGCTTTTAACACCCTATGCGACCAGATATCGGCACGTTCAGGCTCTCGTTTCGTTTAGGATATACCTCATAAAATTATATAAACCCCATCTTACAAGAGGCTGACCCTGGATTAACAACCAGGTAGATACAAGACACTGCAAGTGCATCAGCCAACAATAGGATTTACCGCATTTCCATTCCATCGTCAGAAGCTCAATTTTGTCATAAAATTTTATGAGGTACACCCTAAACGAAACAAATATACACAAACCTTATTTGACATCCACCTGTTAAAACTTTTATGACTTAAGCGGCTTAAGCCAAAGCACCCTTATAAGTCAAACTGGTTATTGTAAGTTTTGTGAACCCGAACCGCAAGATTATTACTGTCCATTGTTGGCATAATGTAGCTGTGAACTGAGTTAAGTAATACAATAGCCAGTTTGACTTATAAGGGTGGTTTGGGTTAAGCCGCTTAAGTCATAAAAGTTTTAACAGGTTGGTGTATGTCAAATGAGGTTACTTTACAGGTGCTTGAGTAATACCAACATAACAGACGATGGGCCATGAACTAGTAAATATCTAATGGACAAAAAAATGTCTTTTTTATAAACTGAGCTGAACAATCCAAAGTCTTTGTGGTTCTAGAGGTACGATGTGGGGGATGAGAGAATATCGCTAGTGTGGTTTTATTGATTCGGCGTTTTATACCTATCTATAAGTGGAAATAATTATCGCCTTGTATTACAATTTAAAAAAAAAATATGGTAAAAAAACTCAATGAAGTTTATTGATTAAATAAATGGTTTAACTAACTTTTTCAATTCGGGGAACACAATACTATTTTTTATTTTAATAAAAAGGAATTACCATTAAAGATACATTTTGGAGAGTAACTTTTATAATCTAAACAAGAATGTGGATTTGGACCTCTGCGTCTGCCTATTAAAATTGTTGAAAAGGGATTATGAATGAATATTTTCAGTTGTATTTTTCATTACCTTTACGTGTAATGATTGTATTTATTACACAATTTGGCAGCAACTACATAATTAACTATTTATTTCGAAATATTTCTATTTATGTTTGGGTGTTAATACGTGTGCTATAAATTGGACGGCGTCGGCGAACATTCCTACAACTGAGTCACTGATCCTTTTCAATTTGTTTTAGGTGATTGTGATATAAGTAATACTGTGGTTAGCAGACGTTTCTCAGACGATCTACACGAACTTGCTACACTTTGTTTGCAAAAAGAAGCGATCATCCGTCCAACTGCTAGTCAACTCCTAACTCATCCAATTTTTAAATTAACAAAAAAGCCTTTATTTTTGCCTGATCTCCTTAAACCGGCCATGCCACTGAGCAGCCGAGTCGCGGCTCATATAGGTATTTGTTTTTTTTTTTTATGGTAACATATTGTATTGTACTATTCTAGACGAAGTGACGAATTTAGATGTGGCCCAACAATTCGCCGACATGGAACTCTACTCTTGTGAATGGGACTTCTAGAAAACTTGTAGGTGGAAATTGTGTAAATTTATTTCAGTATTATAAAACTGTTACAGTTTAAGTAGAAACACTTGCAATAAAACATCTTACAATTAAACTGCATTATCTGCTTTAACATGAATTATCTTGCCTGAAGTGAAAAGTGCTATACACGGAACATTAGAAATTTCAAAAGGCAAATGTTTCTTCTTCCAGAACCTATTTATTATGTACAGTCTTTGTAACTTTATAAGAAACTGTAAAATTTTATATTGATATTGACAGCATCAAAACTTTTAGTTCAACACCAATCCTAAATCCATCAACAAGGAACAGCCTGACAGTATTTGCAGGAATTAATTAATTCTGAACTGTATGTTTCAATCTGAATTGTACAACTTATCACATTTAATTTGCTCTTAATAAGAGAAGTAGCTTTCTTAAGAATTAGGTCTCGATCACAGTATTTATCTGCAACATAGAAGATGTATGTAAATATTTGTACCACTTTTCTATTATACATACTTACCAACACATAAATGAACAGACACTGCATCTCGTCCAGGAGAAAGTGTCCAGATATGCAAGTTATGAAGATGCCTAACATTTGAAATCCTTTGTAATTCAAATGCTAAATCTTCAGTGTTTTTTGGACTACCCTCTAGTAGCAACCAAATGGAGTCTTTTGCAACTTTGGCAGTTGTGCAAATTACCACAGCAGAAAATAATAGTGTGCAAATTGGATCTGCTAATTTAGCATTTGGAAAAACTTTAATAATTATTGCTGCTATTAATACACCAGAACTTTGCAATAGATCACCTAAAACATGAGCAGCGGCTGCTCTTACATTTATATTTGAACTACTCTGATCCACTTGAGTAGTCTGATTCAGACCATGACTGTGGTTATGACAAAAACCATAAAGAACAGCTCCCATCCTACAATATTTTGGTTCATTATGATTTTTACGCCACATTTATAACAATCTCACAAAATATTTACAATAAGGCCTAATGAAGCTACAAGTATCATTGTATCTGCATCAATATCATATTCTTTTTTCCAAATTCTGTTTATTGCAAGAACCGCAAAAACGCCAGCTAGCAACCATACAGTTAAGACACTCAAAAAAGCACCAAGTACTTCAGCTCTATGATAACCAAAAGTCATATTTTTGGTGGGTGCCTTGCAGGCAATCCAAATTGATAAAAGGGATATTAAAAAACCAACAAAATCTGAAAAAAGATGGGCTGCATCGGTCATTATTGCAAGACTACCAGCAATAACACCACCAATTAGTTCAGTAACCTGAAATTTTAAAGAAAGTGATTATTTAATTTTGGTAGAATTGGTTGGTTGCATTCACCATAAATAAAAAGCATAACACTGAGGCAATTAACAATTTTCTCCAAGCTCTATTATCATCATTATGGATCAAAATACTGTGGCAATGAAATTCATCAGTAGATTGATAACATTCCTAAAATTGTTTGTTATACAATAAGCGTAAAACTAGAAAAATGCATCTAGTTACATTAATTAGGAGAGGTGAATCTTCAAGAACATCAATGTGATCATCCATTTCAGACACAATTGCTACACCAAGATCACTCACATTTGTAACTGAAGTGCCTACAGATAGTAAATGATTATTGTGGGTGTCACTACTAATCAAGTGATCATCTTGTTTTCTACAGGTGATACATTTTTTGGGAATATTTTTTTCTGCGTTCAACAAGATTTCATTTTCATCCACATGATCACAAAATGTTGCCATATAACAGAAAATGATGACAAAATAATAATAAAAAGCACTTGCTAATTTTCACTTTAAAGAAACTAACTGATTGCCACATTAGCATGATTTCATGACTGTTTACAAATAGTCATTTTATTCTGGAAATTCTATTATAAACATTTAGTAACCTACAATTTGAACTATAAAATAATCTGTACTGAAGGTAATAGAACTAATAATATCATACCTTAACCAATGTGCCCTAAAAACATTACAACGCATTTACGGTTTGTTTGAAAGAGTGTAATTATTTTTTAACGATTATGTCTCACTGCTTGAATTACGTTTAAAATTTAAACACCCACATTTACACAATGCAAATTTTTTGTAATGTTAAAACAGTGATAATAAGTACCATCACTAACTTGATAATGTATCTATTTAACAGTATGAACGTTGATCATAAGTTTCTATCTTCGGCACATTGTCAGCACTTCTCACTCTGACTTATAACCACTGCTTACAACGTTGACATCGTGATTTATAGATATCGCAAATGTCATAAACGTCATCAACTTAGCTATGTAGTCAACCCTTTATACAATGCGGAGTGGAGTTTACATACCCAATTCAGATAGTCTTGATACACAGCTGTTGTTTTTTTAAAGAATTTATTATTTACTACAAATTTACTGACAATTAGTTTAAAAATCTTCAACAGGAAAATTTCAAAATATGATTTTTGCAGTCGATAGAGAATCTGTCGTGGTGTAGTCAGGACATGTCCAGATTTATCATGATATTTTAATTTATGTCCTCACTTATCCTGAAATTATCGTGCCGTGTGGACCAATGGAAAATCAAAAACACTTAAAGTAAACATTAGTTTTATATACTTTCATTGTTGGTTGATAGCCAGGTGACTTTCCTTATGAAAATGTTAAGATATACGTTTGCACGAAATGACATCTCTTTAGGTTAAAATTTCTGTTAGATGTCCTCCTCATGGTAGATGTTTCCTATAACACTTGTAGCTTACTCAATGTAAAAAAATACCGTATCATCCAACGACAATTAGCTCTTTTGCATAAATTGGGGACAACTAATTTTTTCTAACTTTAATAGAGGATAGAAGGAATATATTCATTCATGCATGGGTAATACCGATCAGTCCTTTCTAGTATGTTTTAATTTTCGTTCTAGAGGGGCTACTATTATTTGTAATACTACACTTCTACCACTTGGCTCTTGGGACATTTGAATTTTCCCTAAAACATAGCTCTCTGAATACAAAAAGCAGTAAAAAAGATACTTTCAAAGTTGTTGAAACACTATAATGTCGCTTAATGCCACTTGGACTTTTCTATAGCTTTATTCTGACGAATTATTGTAATCGTCTTAATTTTAGTCATTGAAAACTTTGATTTGCTTAAAAATGTTTTCAATATCTTGATAGCGATTTTTTTGCTCCAGTTAATAGTTCCACAAAAAGAAAATTTTTTGTTAGTCTGCGTTACGCAAGGATGTTTAATGAGTTCTAGTGCAGTGCATTTTTGACTTCGATGTGTGCGTGTGTGTTCGTTTGATCTGCAAACTGGCTGGTTCAAATGTTTTATTTTTATTAAAACATAATTTATTTGTGTGCTAAACTAAAAGTGAGTGTTGTTATACATATGTACACCAGGACTCTTCGGGGACCAGCACGGCAGGAAAAGGAATCAGGATTTAAAGGGTATGTATTTGTTACTAACTACTATTTATTTATCGGTCGATCATTTGTTTTATGGTATACAGTGTATGGATATGTAAATGGACATAAACATGTGAAGTTACATTTGGTAATACTATTTAATTTATTTATTATTTTAGTAAAAACGTAGCTCAACCAAGGTCAAACCCACCCCGTCAGATATTTATTTTGTAAAAGTATCGTTTTCGTTGCAGTTATAAGAAATATAGGTTTTTATGGATGCTGTTTATTTCACAATTAAATAAGTAACATTTTGGTATTCCGCAGTTTTATCCAACACTATAATTTATACTTTCAATTAGTGTTCTATTTGTAAAAGTGTATCAATTTTCGAATATTCGAAAACATTTTATAACTTTTCGTGGCTTCTGAAATCTGAAAATGTTGATCCCTAGTTTCCGTCTGTTTGTCGCTTGTCTGCTAATTTTATTAGTTTGTTACATAAAAATCTTACAAATTACTATCAGACTATTTTTACTTTAGTACATAAATGTTGGCATGCACGAAAAGCACATACCTATGCAAAATAAGTAATAAAGTTTTACAACTTGGCTAGAAATTATATTTTTGGTATTTTTTATGAATACACAAAGTAACATTGTCCGCTTTAAATAATTGATGACGTATTCGAAAAAAGTAGGAGTATGAACTAAATATTTGTTAGGGACTGTGAGGATGAGGTGATCTCTTACTAGAGCAACATAGTTTTGTTTTTATTACTTATAGAGAATGTTTGAAAATGAATTAAATAAATCGAATACATGTTTTCTTATATTTTCACTTCCCGAGCGTACGCGAAGGAAGTATTGTAAACGAGTCTACCGGCAACTCCCTACTTTTATGTTTTCTCGACCATTCATGACCCCTAGAGTACGAAGAAATAGATCTTCCGTCGTTTCCGTCTGTCCGGATTTTTATTAGACAGATAATCTAATAACTACTTGATCAATTGTTGTCAAATTTGGTATGCACATTAGGAATATCATGTAGATGGTAAAACGTTTACCAAAATTTGGCTAATTATCCCCGTCACCAATGGAATGACGTCATTTCCACCATTTACAATAATATATATTTTTTAATTTTCTAAAATAACATATTTTTGCACTTGTGGTGTATGAATTCGTGTTGAGTTTTCATCCTAGACATCCAGATTTTTGTAAAAAAAATACAAATTGTGTAACAACATTTTGTAATTTAACTTTTAAACTACAAAGCGGAATAATCTGAAATCTTAGAAACGTTTTAAGGTTATCTTAATGATAGTAAATCATTAATCAAAATTTATTCGTTTATTCCCCCCCCCCCAAAAAAAAATTTGTGACCTCATCTCAAAATTTTGTTAAATATTTCCTACCTAAAAAGTGCAAAATATAACGAATCTGTAATTGTGATTTATGATTCCGTTAATAGTTTTTAGAATTGCTTCTACAGGGTGACTCAAAAAAAAAAATTAAAGAATCAGTTTATTGATTAAATCAGAAACTGCAAAACTGAATGTTTTGAAATCTTTCAGATGTGTTAAAGTTATCATAAACATGGTAAATTTGTAATCAAAATTTATCTCTTTATCCCCGCCAAGAAATTGATGACGTTATCTCAAAATTTTGCAGAATAAATTCAATCGAAAATGTGCAAAACATGATAAGTCTATGCTTGTGATTTATTATTTCATTCATATTTTTTAGAATTCCTTATACAGGGTGTCCCAAAAAAATAAAAAATGAGTCAATTTGTTTTATTGATTAAATCACCACCAATCCAAATGATATACATGTCTTTGCTAAAATGTTGATGTCATTACAAAATTTTATAAAGGTAAAACTCATCTGCAATGTAGCCGTAATACATTTACTTTAACATTACATAACAGATATCTTTATTTTAAACTTCTAGGGATTCACATAAAATAACATAATTCGCAAAATCAAATTTTATAATTTTTCGAACAAGCTGGATATATTTTATTGTAGGTTAGAGGCGGGGGAAGTTCTGTCGAAATAATCTTCGATCAATTTTTACTTCCCGAGCGTAAGCAAAGGAAGTATTGTAATCGAGTCCATCGGCCGACTCTCTACTTTTACGTTTTCAGGACCCCTAGAAGACGAAGAAATAGGTCTGCCATTTCCGTCTGTCTGTCCGTCTGTCCGTCTGTCCATCTGTCCATCTGTCCGTCTTTCCGTCTGTCCATCTGTCCGTCTGTCCGTCTGTCTGCCGTCCCAGATTTTTATTAGACAGATAATCTCCGACAGTACTGGACCGATTGTTGTGAAATTTTGTACTTATATTAGGAATATCATGTAGATGGTAAAACGCTAACCAAAATTTGTCTAATCATCCCCACCACTAATGCGATGACGTCACTTCAAAAATGTACATAGTAAATGGGTTTTAAATTGTATAAAATAACATAGTTCTACACATGTAGTTTACAACTCCGTTTTGAGTTTTCACCAGAAACGTACAGATTTTTGGAAAAAAAATCAAAATTATAAAACAACATTTTGAAAGTTAATTTTGAATCTGCTAATCCGAATGCTTTGAAATGTTGCAGATGTTTTAAAGTTATAAAGAGCATAATAAATGTTTAGTCAAAATATATTTGGTTATCCCCTCCAAAAACTTGATGACGTCAGCTCAAAAGTTTGCCGAATAAATCATCTAAAATGTACAAAATATGATGAGTCTGTACTTGTGATCTATCACTTCATTCATATTTTTTGGATTTGCATATACAGGGTGACTCAAAAAAATTCATGAATGTGTAAATTTATTTTACTGATTTACTCAGGAACTACAAAACCGAATACTTTGAAATCTTGCAGATGTTTTAAGGTTATAAAGAGCATAATAAATGTTTAGTCAAAATATATTTGCTTATCCCCTCCAAAAACTTGATGACGTCAGCTCAAAAGTTTGCCGAATAAATCATATCTAAAATGTACAAAATATGATGAGTCTGTACTTGTGATATATCACTCCATTCATATTTTTTGGATTTGCATATACAGGGTGACTCAAAAAAATTAATGAATGCGTAAATTTATTTTATTGATTTACTCAGGAACTACAAAACCGAATTCTTTGAAATCCACTGCGAAAAAAAAACATAATAAGCATGCAGTCGTCACGTTTCCGACAGCGAGGGAAGTACTGTCTAAACTCTTTAGACCAACTTTTTCTATTATTTCAAAAATCATTCTTGAAATACAGAGAGAAAACGTTAATTAATGTATTTGTTCTTACTAAAAATTACTAAATAAATTTGTGCTTTAACATGCATGAAGAACAATGGGTGCTTCAATAACGTATAGATTCTGCTCAATCATTTCTTGGTCAATCTTTGTTTTTTTATTTAAACAACATTTAAAATATAAAATTTTTGAAAAATCTCTACTTCTAGCAAAACATGTTTTGATATTTTTAAGATTCATCAGTTTTAAATTAATTTTGTAATGCTGATCGACATCTTTGTTAAAAGTCAATGTTAATAAAGCAAACTCGTTCGAATTTGTACTATAAATAGCGTTAATACCCATTTGGTGCCGAGATAATACGGCTGGCCCTGTACATACAGTAGATACGAGCCTTTTTCGGCTGTAAATTTTTCTCCAATTGTTACTAGGGTACAACTCAAACGAGTTTACTTTATGTTCACGTTAATTTCAGTAACAATTTTGTTTGTGTGGAAATCATTGCTATGTTTTTTTTTTTTTTGTTGCAGTGGGTTCCAAGTGAAGAAGAGGGGACTCGCTAAATTGTAGCAGAAGAAGCCGCAAAGGTCAGATTTTGGATAAATTTTTATGGGGTGTTTGTTGTTTTTTTTTCTGGTGACGGGTATGTGTGTTGATATTTTTTCTATAAATTCTCTTTTCTGTCTCTGTTGTTTTTAAGATTGCAAATTTGTGTTTTAGTTTAATAATAACAATGAAATTATATTTCTTATGTATCTACAGTCTATAAGACAGATTATCAACCTATCTTTACTTCACTTATTTTTATTTATTGTCCCTTTTTTGATAGTATTAATTTGCCCATGACGTCATTAATATTTGAAGTACCACGTCATATCCTCGTCGTATTAAAAATAAATTTCCGAAGGTAAAGTATTTGTAGTATTTTAAAACTACTTTAGAAGATACGAACTTAAATTTAATGGTTTTTAACTTTTATTACTATTACAAGCTGTATTGTGCATTGTTTAACATTTCTCTAGATATTAACACCGTTAAGAAATTTAATTCTATGTACACCATTATTATACATAATTGATAAATTCTAGCAGCCACTAATTGAGGTTGAAATCATACAATTCAAAAAAAAAAGACATCCTTTTAGCTGACGATAATTTTCATTTCTTCTAGATACAATAATAATTAGTTTGATTCACTTTATGCAAAAAACAACCTAGAAACCTAAATAGAAAACTTGTGTAACATCAAGTGTTGTTTATTATGTTCGTAGTTATATATATATACTTACTTATACTGTATCTCTATCGCTACATTATCAGTGCAAAGTGCAACCCAAATTCTTCGGAAGGAAAATACAGGGAATATTTTCAACAGTACATTATTAGTACAAGTACTTTTTGCTACTAAGTAGTAGACTTTTAAAAATAATTTTGTTACTGCCCATTCACAATGGACATAAGGCATAACAAGTACATAAAGCTTAAATAAATACATAAAGTTGAAACGATGGAAAACGTGTATCCCTGTTCACAGTGGACGAACGTAATTCTTATGCTTATGAACGTTTTATGTAATCCTTGTGTGCGTACACAAAGTTGAAACAAGTTCAACTTTGTGCACGAATTATGTCAAAATTATGTTAAAATCTAGGGACTTTTGAATGCTGCTATTGAATTCCCTTTGACAGTTGGCACTTAGCACTTCACACCTTTGATTATATTATATAAATTACATGGCCGACTCCATTAATCTCTAAAGAGATATGGCCGTTCCAATCGGCGTTTACAAATTGGCTATCCAAACAATTGAAAAGTTCTCTAAAGTGGTGCCATCTGACAATGGAAATGTTAAAAAAATACAACCCCGATCGAGTTGACATTAAATTTTGACAATTTGTAATTTAATAACGTCAAATAAATTCAGATCAGGAATGTTCATAACAGAACTCATTTTATTATATCAAATGAAATAAATAAAAATAGCAATGGAAAATTCTAATCATGTTAATGTAAGTAGATATACCTGAATACCTATGCACTAAATAATAATAAAAAGAAAATTACAACTTTAGAACCTTTCTGCGGACTGGTTTGTGCTGCAACAATTTTATCTTGACCATTGACTAATCAATCTGTGGTTTCAAGACATATGTTGTCCAAAACAGGTTTTACAGTTGTTGTTACAAATTTACATACTAAACGTTTATGTTTTTCACATTTAAATAGAGGGTTCTTTTCTAGGTGAGAAAATATTATGTTCAGCAACTGTTCACAAGCTCTTTCAAATTTTAAAAGTGGAAAAATTTTCAATGCAATGTCCGATATTTGTTTCACAACCCCTACAAAACGAGAATTCGGATAAGTTAGTCCCCCACGATCTTGTAAAAAAATTAATTTTAAGAGAGGTCCAGGAAGTTCAAATGATAATAGCGGAGAAAGACAGTCATCACAGTGAAATTTGTCATCTAATTTTTTTATAATGTACCCTGCTAAAAAGGGACAGAAGCGGAATAAATATCTGCACGTTGTTCAATATTCTTGCACAAATTGATTCTTAAATATTTGTCAGCTGGAAATCCAAAGAAAGGTTTAGTACTGTTCCCACATAAATAACATTTCTTCATGTCTAACGATTTGTTTGCAATTACCGCTCAAATTAGGATAAAACATCATTGTCAGTCAATAAAGAAATCTGTAATTAAAAATTATAATGCGTAAGGACCACCAGAGTCCGCCAGTTTAGGGTCACTTCATGGCATACTTTCCGTACTTGCCAAAAAATGCCGAATGGAACGGCCATATCTCTTTAGAGATTAATGGAGTCGGCCATGATAAATTATAATCAAAGCTTCACACTGCGAGTTTATTCTGTACTGCGAGTGTCATGTTCGAATATCGAATGAAATTGTAGGTTAGATCTTTTGATTGACTCAGTTTGAGGTTAGCCGTTTCTATCTTTAGCCGGGAGTTATTCCGTTCTGCGTTTGCGCAGTTTAACAATTCTTACAGAGTTCACTCTGTCCACTGTGAACGTAGATAAGCATAAGCCAGACACAAACCAAAAACGTAAATTATGTTATGCGCTCGTTCTTATGTCTTATGTCCATTGTGAATGGGCAGTTAGTGTGTTGGTTAGTCCAGGCGCACTGTTGGGGATCAATTTATTTGATGGTCAAATTTTGGCGCATCATCTCTTATTTTCTGATCGTTCGACTGTTCGCGCTGAACCATAGGAGTGGATTATCGATGTGTATATTATAATCAATAAGTGAACAAGATTTTATCTGATAAAGGTTTCTGCTACGGCGAAAAGATTCTGCGATTAGTTCAAGAGGTCAGAAGCAGATGGCAGGATGACAGAAAGCTAAATCATTAGCTTAGCTAATATGTTGGCCATAGTTACGAGCCGCCATTACCCTGGTTTCCTCTACTACTTCGACATAAACAAGACACTGATTACTTGATTAGGTCAAAGTTTTTATTTATTCGACTGAGATATTATAAAATTAATGTAGGTACTCCCAACCAGAACTTTTAACAATTATAGATAGATAACATAAAGTACAAAAAAATTTTGGTGTAAAGTTTTTTATTAGCGGTTTGCTATATTATGTTTATGAAGTGTTTCGGGTATTTTCTGATAAAAAGGCTAATAGACGACGGACAGACGACAGATGGAAACTGGATTAGCTACTTTTTTAAACTTTAGTATAGTTATAACATTGAGAAAAGAGACTTGCGCTCGAGAACTAATAAGAAAAGACAGTAGGTTTTAGGTGTATTTTTGTATTTTTGAATTGATATTTTTTTGAAGCAAAATTTAAATTTACTAGTTTATACGAGTATACTAAAATGTAACCTTAAATGCTTTCGTGTGGGTGCAATTATTCTTGCAGTTTGTTGTCGCTCCAGATGCGAAAGTTTATGGATTGAAATGGCCGGAAACAGGAATTGCAAATCGGGTTTAGAATGGCGGTCGTGGCTGAGATTCTAATTCTAATTTTAATTTGCCAGCTCAAAGGCATTATGGCACATTTAACGGGCCTGTTATATAAACTCACCCTCGAGTGTCATAAATTAGTCAGGGAGTAAATTTCTCTGTCAAATTATGTAAATGTGACGGCTTCAGCAGTCCCACTCAAGCTTTGCATTGTTGTTTCTATAGAAGTAACAAGAAATGAAGGCAAGCATTAATCATAATTGCTGATGCTCATCCGAGCGCTTTCTTTTAAACATTAAACTTGATTTTTTAACCCCATCATTTATATTCACTATAATGAGCCAGTAATGCAGTCGGTAATTTTTACTATAGTTTGTATATAGTACATATAAAAAAAAATAAAATAGTTACAGTATAACACAGAAACTAAAATAATATATGATTATAAAATTATGCAGCAGGTAATGAGTTTTATAAAAGAAATAAGTAAAGTTTCTAGTAGCAAAGAAAACGATATTCCTAACAAGACATAACTAGAAACAGCATTTTTAGTTCATTTATAATAATTATTGAGCACAGCAAGTTAAGATAATATGACAATTTTGACGAATTTTGAATTATTGATGTTTGCTTTACAAAATCTAAAGTACAAAAATATCTGTTTCAAGTTATTAAGTCACCTGCACTTCAAGTGTTGATCTTTAATTGAGTAAATGTAACATAATGGTTGTTTACAAAAAAGTTTGTCTTACCAAATTTTGCAATCTACTGAGTAGTTACGAATTTTAGTATACTTAATATCAAGAGTCCGTCCAAGGTATAGGTATAGGTATACTAAACAGTGATAAAATATAATATACATAAAATACGTCAAGATATTTTTTAACTATTGGTTGTAATTAGGAAAATATACAAATTTCAATGTTCATATTGTACATTTCAGTAAATCCTGCGCTGTTATATGTACATTAGGGTGATTCAAAAAAAAAAAAATTTTTTTTTTCGTGTCAAAGAGGTTCAAAAGTTTCTTTTCAACGTAAAAAAATACCAGTTAAAAGTTGAGCTCTTAATATTAATATTAAGACCGTCCGCATCGCGTTTTTCTATTTCCCATAAGAATAACATGGGAAAATTTTTGTTTGCACCTTCTGATTTTTATTGCTAGCCCGTCGTGTGTCGTGAAAAAAATTCAATCACATATTTTTATAGAGAATTGAACGCTCTACAAAAAGTGTCTCCTATGATTTTGCGAGAAACCTGACTATGATTTTTTAACCCACTGATGCTGAAAATGTTCGGAAAGAGTTTTACTGGCCTTATTATAGCATAAAATTATAAACAATTACTGTTTAAAAAATTAAATTTAAAATGTGTATAAATTTTTGTGGTGATTTATTCCAATAAGACCATCAAATTTATTGTAATGCATCAAAAACGTCAAAATTTGGATAAATTTAACTTTAGCCTAAAATAACTCTTCAACTATCAGGTTTCTCGCACAATCATAGGAGACACTTTTTGTAGAGCGTTCAATTCTCTATAAAAATATGTGATTGAATTTTTTTCACGACACACGACGGGCTAGCAATAAAAATCAGAAGGTGCAAACAAAAATTTTCCCATGTTATTCTTATGGGAAATAGAAAAACGCGATGCGGACGGTCTTAATATTAATATTAAGAGCTCAAATTTTAACTGGTATTTTTTTACGTTGAAAAGAAACTTTTGAACCTCTTTGCACGAAAAAAAAAATTTTTTTTTTTTTGAATCACCCTAATGTACATGTATGAAATACGTACCTAATTCCTTTTTGAAGTTGCAGTTCATTCAATTTTAAGTTCAATTAATAAATATTTACTGAATAATTTGCCATAATCCAGCGATTCATATTTGCTTATTTTTATTCTTTTTTGCAAGAGTTAAACTGACTAAAGGACTTAAAACTGAAGTTGTTTAAAAGTTTGTTGCTTTTTAAATGAAAATGATAAAACAAAAAAAAAATTATTAAAAAAGAATTAATATCTTAAAAAAACTTTGATGATCGTTAAAAAATGTTATTGTAAGGGAATATATATATAGTACTTGTAGTACTCTTTTACGTTTATCACTCGAAGAACAATTTAAACTATAAAAATGTATATGGTATAGTATAACAAAATGATGCAGATAGTTAGTAGATATCCATGACTGACAAATATTAAAGAAAAATAAAGTTAGTTTAATCATTTTGCAAGTTTTAAACAAAGTAGCAACACTTTAATTATTATAATTTGTCCATCATGTGTATTCATATTTTCATCTTTTTATTTATTTATTTGATTAATCTGACAACTAAATTGCCCCTCTGTTATGAATAATAAAAACTCTCTAGTGGTGTACTCAAATATGCACATACTTCTATTAATTTATTTCTTCGACAGAAAAACAAAATCTGTGTGCATTAAAAGGATTTTAGAATTTTAAACTTTAATTGTTGCTTTTCTGAAGTATCGCAATGAAATCAAAACAAATTCTGTTAGTTGATATAAGTGATTTTTTCTGTGAATTTTCTACATTTAATCATCTTCAAGAAATAATGGACAGTAGTGTGGGCGTGTTTGGTCAGAGGTTGCAAAGTACATGTGTTTTTGTCAGATAATAGATAGTATATCTCTGGAGGGCGGCGATTTGCTATTTGTCATAAGCATCCTGCCAACTTTGGTCATATGAATTACGGTTTCTTATTCTTAATAATGTTATCTTGTTCGGACAGACATTATTTATTGCTTCGGTTTGTGGGAGTTTACGTATATTTTTATGACAAGGGGAAAATAAAGATCTAAGTTGGGGATAAACTAAAAGTAATACAGAAATTGTATCATTGGCTTTTAAGGATCAAGTTGTTTCTTAAGATTTGCGTTATATTTTCAGATATATAAAAATAAATCGTAAAATAGAAACGGAAATTTAAATAATTATAGAGGGCATTGTTATAGACAATAAATTCCAGTTGCTCAAGATTACAATTGCAAGTGAATATTATACAGAATTTATAATATTGGAAAATAGAGTCAAGTTGTAATTCTATTTGAATCTAATAAGTTTTTTTTGTAGTAACTGCTGATGTGGAATAAATACCCTGTGGCGAACATAATCCAAGCTTCATTTATAATTCGAAACTTTTTCGGATTAGACGATGAACATTTTACCACTTATTAATTCACACCAGGCACCATTCGACTCAGAATATAAAAAAATCCGACACCTATAAACATTAATTACACTTCTGATAATTCTCTTTATGTAATAAGAATTAAAACTTTTTAATAAAAACGATCACGTCAAGGTTTCAACATTCCAACGTTTCGTGTATTAAAATCCATTAGGCGGCATAATAAATAAAAGTGTCGCTGGTTAGTGTATTTCCGACAATAATAATAATTGAATTGAGAAATTGTGGAAAGAGCGGCACGTCTAAAAATAAAAAATGTATCCGACGACGACAAGACAAAGTAACAAACTGAGGCAATAAAACAATAAGTTCGCTGTCTACAGCGTGCAGTAATCCGTAAGTGTCGGGCGGCACTACAGCGGAAGCGGTACTTTTGACAGATTT